GGGTGATGCTCAAGTCCGAGAGCAGTCAGGTAAGCCCTAGGGCTCACAGCTAGGATTATCTCTTCTTACCTGACTCTTGCCATAGCCCCTCCCGGCCCTCCCTGGCCCTATTCTTTTTGCCTTGCACTGCTCACCACACACTGCTGCCCCCACCAGCCTTCCAGAAACAGATGGGATTGATGCCCCAGGACAAAGGCCAGGCTCCTTACCCTGGCATTCGAGGCCCAGGTTTCCCTACTCAGAAATGAGACCATCATTCCCCATAGAGTCCTCCCTGTTCCCTTCTTCTCTCAGACCCCTGCCCTACATGAACCCACATGCTGGTTCTGTCAGCTCTGCCTTCAGAATATATCTTGACTGCCAACACTTCTCACCATCCTGCCATCCACAGCCACTCCCCTGGCCTGGCCACCACCATCACACACCTGCGGTGGCCCCTGACTAGTCTTGCCTTGCCTCAGTCTATTCTCCACACAACAGCCAAAGTGCTCTTTGAAAAATATAAATCTGAACTGCACAGAGTATGAACTTATAACCCTGGCTTACAAGGCCCGATGTTCCCCTTTCTGTGTCTCAAACCCCATCTCCTTGGTCCCTCTATTCCAGCCATACTGGCCTCCTTGCTATCTTGAAGCCTCAACCATACTCCTACCCCAGGGCCTTTGCACATGCTCTTCCTTCTGTCTGGAACCCCTGTGTTCATACCTGCTTGCATATGGGTGACTCCTTCTCATTATTGGAGATCAGCTCAAATTTCTCATTTTCAGAGAGGCCTAAATGCCCCTCTAAAAAAAAAAAAACAGCTTTGTTTTCTTAATAGCACTTATCATGAAATGTATTATAATGGTTGTTTGCTTATTTACTGTCTGTCTCTCCCACTAGAATGTGAGCTCCAGGAGGGCAGGGCCTTGGTCTTGTTCCCCGTGGTGCCTCCCTTGCCTAGCATAGGCCATGGTATGCAGTAGGCACTCAATAAATGTGTGTGAATGAAGAAACAATCGGACCCCTTTCAGTGCATCTACCATTTCTTCCCTCCTCTCCCCACACCCATGGCATTGTGTGCACCCCTTCCCAAACCCCATGCCTCAGAATCCCCTCCATCCCTGCCTACCCATCTCCCCTCTTGGCTCCGCTCTCCTTCTCCCAGGCAGCCTCCCTCCTCTGCTAGCCAGTTGCCACAATCTCCTTGGGTTTGTCTGCCAGGCTAGGCGGTGAGTTCCAGTGCCTGGTACACAGGAGGAGCACAATAAATGCTTAGGTGCCTCTGTGGCCATGGAGATAGGAGGCCCTGAGATTCAGAGGTCACAGCAGGCCTTCCTGTCCTCATGATTTCAGTCGCCCGTGTCCAGGGTTTTTGCTTCTAGGGAGTTTCCTGACCGCTGAGTCCTCCGTCCTGAGAGCCCGGAGACACCAAGGGCCCTAAGTGGCTCAGCCGGGGCCGGCGCTGCACGGTGAGCCGTAACTGTCACTGGTGTAGGTGTTGTTTCCATTTTGCTGCTGAGGAAGCAAGGCTCACTGAGATCAGCTGGCTTCCTCAAAGCCACGCAGAAACTGACGGACTGAGATGCGAGCCTGAGACTTCCTGGGGCCAAGTCACAGGGCTTTGTCAGGGTGCATGTGATTCCAAGTCCCGGGTCTCAGACCTGAAGGGCCCTGAGGGCCACCAGGAAGCTGAAGCCCTGGACGGCAGGAATCGCGTGTGACCCAGTGCTGTGCCCATCCAGAGGAGAGCCTCTGTGAGCATTCCTCAAATGGATGAAATTCCATCCACGTGCAAGAATCCCCTTTCCTGGGGGTCTATGCTTTGGGACAAGGTGTTCTGACAGTCCCTTTAGCTGGTTCTGTTGAGAAGCCCTTTGAGGGGTCCTGCTTAAATCCCATCCCAACCCAGAGAGATGCAGAGGGGCAGGAAAGGCTTCTCAGAGCAGCAGTGCTCCTGGCCCAGGCTGACGGGGCCCAGGCCTAGGTATTGCGGAGGGAGGAGGAAGTGACTGCTCCTGGCCCAGGCTGACGGGGGCCTGGGAGCTGACCCAGGCCTAGGTATTGCGGAGGGAGGAGGAAGTGACTTGTCCAAGGTCATCCAGCAAATTTGTGGCCCCTCACTGCCCCTGGCCCCAGTGCTGCTGGAAACCAGCCCTCCCACTTCTGGCCCCTTCCTCTTCTGAGATCTTAATTAGGAATTTTCCACAGCCTCTCCCGGGGCAGGGCGTGGAGCAGAGGTGGTGTAAGGGGATGGGGGGCAGTCCAGTGGCAGTTTAAGATCGAGGGGGCGATAAGATCTGCCCTGAGGCCTACGGCAAAGAATGAGTAACTTGCAGGCCTCCCCTGCAGATCCAGGCGGGGGCTGCCGGGAAGGTGGAACATTGACCACGACTGGGGTCTTTGCCTTGGGGTCCTCATCTTCGGGCCTTCACCCTACTAGCCGCTGGCGTGGGAGTGGGGACCCACTCCTGCAGAAGCCTCCTGAGAAGGGGATGGTGATCCTGGGAAGGGGGTAGGCAAGCCTGGGAGTCATTAGGAGGAGCCCCGAGAAGAGTCTTTTTAAAAAATTAACACATATGGTAAATGTATAATCTTTGCAAAAAGGTACACAGTGATCATAACCTTTTGGGTTTGTCATCAAGGGCCTGGCATCCTCAGCTCACCTCCCTGCCCAGCTGAGCTGGAAGAACCCCGAGAAGCTGCCCCTTGCACCCCACCTTGGGGTAACTCTGTCAGCCAAGTGTCTCTACGGCAGCCGCTCTTGGCCCTCTGTGGTTCCGGGCTCCATTTGTTATTCATTCAACAAGCGTTTGTTGATGACCTACTCTGTGCTGTTCTAGTTCTTGGGATCATCAGTGAACAAGATGGGCCTAGATCCCTGTCCCTGTGGGCTTGCCTTCTAGCAAGTTGGATGACATTTATGTCCCCCTTCCCAGAAAAATGCACTTAAGTATGAAGCCTCTTCTACAATTTTATGGGGCTCCTGGACCCCAGTTTAAGCATCCTCATCTTGGAGGGTGTCTTCCTGATGCAGTTTGCTGCTCTAACACAGTCTGAGTGTTGTCACCCACCCCTTCTGCCTGGCCCTAAAGTTGGCACACATGTCCTGGGCCGGGAGCGAGGGGGGACAGCGTGAGCCACCCAGGCCCCCTCTGTAAGTTCTCAATCAGCTAGTGCTGACTTGCTGTTGGAGGTCATGGAGCCTGAGCACTCCAGGCAGCTGAGAGCCGGTCCTCTGGGGACCTGTGTGAGCTCTGAGAGGCCAAGTCTGAGAGGCAGGGCAGGGAGGGAGAGAAAACGTGTCCCTCCCGAGGATGGCCGGAGCCTGAGCATCAGCCTAGCTCAGAAGCCTGGAGGTGGCAGTGGCCTTGATGGATCCATCTGTCCCCTGCCTCCAGAGGGGCAACTCGTCCTCCAAGCCTCTGGTCAGAGGTCTGTCCCGTTCCTGGCTGTCCTCACCCTGACCCTCCTCCAGGGGCATCTCTCTCATCGCCGCGCTCACCACACAGCTCGCCTGTTTCCCTGTCCGTTTCCCCCAGAACTCAGCAGCACCGTGAATGAAGTCACGGGGCCCACCGCCATGTTCCTGGCTCCCATGGCACCCACAGCATGTGAATGGTCGATAAAGATTTGTTGGGTGAATGGCCGAAAGATGCAAAACCCAGCAGGGTGACAAAGAGATCGGTGGTTTCCTTGTAAGCTGCTAGGCCACCCCCCCGTTCCCCCCAGAAAACAGACCCTGAGACAAAGGTGAGCGAGCAGGACATACCAGAGGGCTCTTGGGTGCGTACCCTGGGGAGAAGGGAAGGAAGCAGGACTGAGCAGAGGAGGAGCGGGCTGCTGTGTAGACACAAAGCCTCAGCCGCCCCCGGGGAGCTCTGGAGCTGGGGTGGCCCTTCAGAGCTGGGGACGGGGCGCCAGGCCTTTACACCCCACATCCATCAGTCACTGGAGGTGAGCCCCCTGGGGGAATGGTGGCCAAAGGCAAGGCTGTTACCACAGGGGCCGACGCTGAGAGCCCTCCCAGCAGCTGGCAGAATGTCCTTCATTTCTGGCGGCACGTCAGGCGTCCACCACACTAACTCACCTCTCCAAACCCTGCCCCACTTCTGGGTCATCTCCTACACCTCAAATTTCAACCCCTACCCCTGCAATGGCTTAGGTGCCTCTGGTGACCAGAGTGCTGTTCCCAGGGCCGCTGTGCATTCAAGGTGTGGCCTCAGGGCTGCTGGCAAAACTGGAGGCCAACCTGTCCCCACACTGGAAAAGGACCCTTGCCCCTGCCCGCCGTGGGAGCTGGAGACGCTCTGCCTGGGCTGGCCCCGGGGGGAGGTGCTGGCTCCTTGGTCTCTATGACCTCATGGCCCTGTAGGCAGAGCCTGGGGAATCTCTGGGCTGAGTGTGGGGTGGATACCCAGTTGCCCTGCAGATCACACCTGGCGCCTGCTGAACCTTGGTTTGGAGGGACTTGTGCATACTGAGACGTCTCTGGAAGGACATGCAAGACTAGGGGTCAGAGGTCTGAGTAAGAGAGACTAACCTTTTATCTACATATGCATATCTTTTAAAATGTCATATCATTCATCTATTCAAAAATACTAAACAAGTAAAAAATAAAACTACTATATACTAAAATGGGAGGTTTTTGGACCTGCACAGGGTGCGTCCTCAGGTCATCAGGCCGTCTCTAGGGTCCCTTATAGGATCCCTCAGGTCCCCTCTGGCGAGTACTCCCTCCTGGGGTCCTGGCTGCAGGTGTCCGCTGCCCCCAGATTCAGAAGAGCCTCTCTGGGCCCCGGGGGCTGGGGTGGTGCCCCCTGTGGCTTGCGGGAAGGCCGCTATCTCAGCGATCAAATGGTGGGCAGGACAGCAGTGGGCACGTGCTCCGCCTCCCACCCTGCCCAAGGACCCCGCTCACCAGCTTTGGGCGGTTTGGGCCAACCTCCCTGCCTCCTCCCTGCTGCGGGCCCAGCCTATAAAGCCGCCCTGTGTGTCCCCGCCGACCCTGGCCCCCTCCCCTGACACCGGAGCCACAATGGCGGAGCTGCCGGTGTCAGAGACTCCGGGGAACCCTGCTCTGTGCAGTGGGCGCTTCACCATCAGCACGCTGCTGGGGGGCGATGATCCGCCCCCACCAGCTGCCTATGACAGCAGCCACCTGACCCACGGCAGCACCTTCTACATGCGCACCTTTGGCTACAACACTCTGGATGTGGTGCCCGCCTATGAACACTATGCCAACAGCGCCCTGCCCGGCGAGGCCCGGAAGGTCCGGCCCACGCTGGCAGACCTGCACTCCTTCCTCAAGGTAAGCACCATCTCAGAACACTGGCCACTTCCCTGCTGTGTGACCTCGATTCAGTTTCCTAACCTCTCTGAGCCTCGGCTCTGTCGTCTCTGCCCTGGGGATGAGTGTCTTCCTCATGAAATGTGGGCATGGATGCTGTAAAGTTCTGGACACCTGTGGTAATGTTTATTGTCCAGTCACCGGCAGCCCCATCAAGCAGTCTAGGGCTGCCTAGAGAGGTAATGAGCTCCCCATCAATGGAAGTGTGCAAACAGGGTGCACACACCTGAAAGAGACGGGGAGAGTAAGGAAGGTCTGCCTCCGAGTCGGGGCTTGCTGGGCTTGCTGCCGGGGAGCCTGGACCATGGAGGGTGGAGGGCTGGGAGCCGGATTGTCACTACCCTTGCCTGCCTGACCCGCGGCCACTGGGGTCCCTGCAGGAAGGCAGCCACCTGCACGCCCTGGCCTTTGACAGCCGGCCCAGCCATGAGATGACCGATGGGCTGGTGGAGGATGAGGCGGGCAACAACGGCGAGAAGAACTCTGGGGAGCCCGTGCGCTTTGGCTGGGTCAAGGGCGTGATGGTGAGTGGGGTGTGGAGGGAAGGTCCAGCAGTGGGAATGGGGAGACAGAGCTCCATCCAGGCTCAGCTCTCATTCTCAAGCGCTAGTGGCCAGGGCAGACCGACGGCCCAGTCTGGGCCTCAGTTTCCCCATCTGCATAGTGACCTCAAATTTTCTGTGGTTTTGTGCTTCCTGACCCCCATTTATCCCCCAGACTGAGACCTGGCCCTGGGGAAGACGTCTTTTCGGCTACACACTTGTCCTATTTCCTTGGGAAAGTTTCTTAACCTGTCTGTGCCTTAGTTTCCTCATCTCTGAAATGATGAGCATTAAATGAGTCAATAGATGAAAAGTACTTGGATCAATGCCTGCCTTGGAATTAGAAGAAGCAGTATTTCCCCCAAAAGGCCACCAGGGGGCAGCACAAACCCACAAGTCCATGAACTGGTGTTTTTCTCCTTCCCCATGATGGGAAGGGGAAGGTTTGCTGTGCCGCAGAGCAGGAAAATGTCCCCAGACAGTAAAGAATCAAGTGAACTTGGCTTTGAAAGACATCAGGGGACTTTACAGAGGAGATCACATGGGATCTAGGAGAAAGCTTTAGCCCTGCTCTGGGAGGCAGGGAGCCTGGGTTCTGACTCTAACCCTGTCAACTGCATGCTGGCCGTGCCTCCGCTTCTCCGTCTGAGTCCTGAACCCCCCTGCACCTCCAGAGGCTCACATGCAGAGTCTGGATCTCCCCCCCAGTTGTGGTGACTAGAGCCTGGTGTGGCCCCATTCAGTATCTCAGAGCATATGGGGGCCCTTGGAAACCTCCCCGGCTTGTAAAGGCCGCAGGCCCCTGCCCCACCCCAAGACTTGGCTGGGGCCAGAGACCACACCAGCCCCTCCCACCCGGGACTTTCGGCCTCAGCTGCGGCCTCTGATTTTGCTTTAAATGTAGAAGCTGAAGTCACAGCAACCCAAGCCCTGTTTCTGCTTGTATGTGGGGCATTGGCTCGGACGGCATTTGCTGACCTCCCGCTAAATGCCAGGCCCTGGGCCAAGATGGCCACTGGGGCCGTGGCTGGAGCTGGCAGACATGGGACCCTGGGCTTGGGCGGGGTGAGGGGAGATAACGTTTGCAGCCCATCCTCAGGCCTCGGTGGGAGGTCAGGAGGGGTGTGGGAGGGGCAGGTGGGTCTCTGAGTCACCTCCCCTCCTTGCCCCACAGAACCAGAGGGGCATTGAGGTGGGAACACACTGAAGTGGGTAAAGCAAAGAAGGGACTCAGGTGTCCCCTAGGCCTAGGTGCCCGATGCCACGCCATGACGGGGAGAGGGACTTGTGTGTTCGGCCTTGGGGTATCTGGCTCACCCAGGGGCCTCTGACCCCCCTCTCCTCCCAGATTCGTTGCATGCTCAATATCTGGGGCGTGATCCTCTACCTGCGGCTCCCCTGGATTACAGCCCAGGCAGGCATTGGTGAGTGCTGCCTCTAGGGGGAGCGAGAAGGGGTGCTGAGTCCTGGTCCTCCAAAGCCCCACGGAGCAGTCTTGAGCTTGGGTTGCAGAGATCACGGGCCCCCGCAGAGCATAGGGTGGAGTGGCAGAGCAGCACTGGGCATAGAGTCAGCAGGCCTGAGGGCTCTCCCTGGCTCTGTTCGCCCTCAGTAAGTCACTGAACCTCTTGGAGCCAACTCCTACTGCAGAGCATCGGGTTAGGAACTCGCTCTCTGCACGGACCAGGGTTCAGATGATAGCTCTGTGCCATGCTGTGCGACCTTGGACAAGTTCATTAACCTCTCTGAGCCTTAGTTTCCTAAAATGGGGGTGATAACTGTCCCTACCTCACAGACCTATTGTGGAGTTTCTATGATGCACGTGCAACAGCACAGGATTTGGCACCCAGAGGTGCTTATCATCACTCCCTTCCATACTTGGTAATCCTTTACATGTTGGCTCATCAGCTCCCTGGCTATTCAGAATATACCAGGTGGTAGACAGAGACTCATTTTTCAGATGAGAAAACTGAGGCCCAGAGGAGGGATGTGACTTAGGTTACACAGTGAATCAGTGGGCTGACTCGGGTTCCTTGCATGCCTCCTCACCTGGGAAAAGCACCGACTGAGTTTTGGGGTGATCTCATCCCCACCCACCCCACAGTCTTGACCTGGATCATCATCCTGCTGTCTGTCACGGTGACCTCCATCACAGGCCTCTCCATCTCGGCCATCTCCACCAACGGCAAAGTCAAGTCAGGTGGGTCCCCCCCCACCCCACCCCCAAGGTCCTCCTCCTGTAGGTCCCCCAGTCTTCACCCTGGGCGCGGGTCTCTGAACCACCCCCTACCCCCCACCCATGATGGGACACCCCAGGCTGCTCCTTCTGGGTCCAGGTGAGGTCCTCTCCTTTGGGCAGGCTCTCACACCCACGGTTGGCCTCGGTTATCTCAAGCGCCGTGGACCCCGTGGGGACCATGGTCATCCTCTCCCAGCCTCAGCTTCTGCCCACCCCAGGTCCACCCCAGCCAGCTGCCTCCTCTGGTTTCACGGCTCTGGCTCCGTCCCCGTAGGTGGCACCTACTTCCTCATCTCCCGGAGTCTTGGCCCAGAGCTAGGGGGCTCCATCGGCCTCATCTTTGCTTTTGCCAACGCTGTGGGTGTGGCCATGCACACCGTGGGCTTTGCCGAGACGGTGCGGGACCTGCTCCAGGTGAGGCTGGGGTTGGACCAAATAAGACAGTTCCCAGATGTCCTCTTGGGGCGGCATGTTGACCCAGGGCCAAACTGCCCAGGCCCACACAGCAGCTGCTTCGGAGAATCTGTCGGCAGGGAAGGTGTTGAGTTTGCGTTTTCCTGTGAGAGGGCACCCGTAGATGAGGTGCATCACGGTGGAGGCGTCTGGGGCGGTGCTGTTCAGAGGGCAGCACGCAGCCTGGCTGTTCCCTGCCCCCAGGAGTACGGCACGCCCATCGTGGACCCCATCAACGACATCCGCATCATCGGCGTGGTCACCATCACCGTGCTGCTGGGCATCTCCCTGGCTGGCATGGAGTGGGAGTCCAAGGTGAGGACGTCGGGGAGGGGACGTGGGAGCAGTCACCGTGGCAGTGGAGAGGCGGGAGCTGCGTGATCTGGGTCCTGACCCTGCCAGTGTGTGTGTTAGCGAGGCTTCAAGCCCTGCTGCCGTGACAAAGAGCCCTAAGGAAGGGGGCCTTCAACGGGAGACACTTGTTACCCTTCTGTGTAACAGTCCAGGCGGACGCGGCTCTGGAGGGTCAGACACCCAGACCCTCTCCATCCTGTGGCCTCTCCATCCCTCATGCACCTGGTCTGTGACGGCCACCACCACTGTGTCCACAGTCCAGTCAGCAGGAAGGGGAAAATGTGGAAAGGAGGAAATTCTCTTTCCCTCTCCTGTCACGGCACAGCCCGGAAGTTCCTCATAGCCCGTCTGCTCGCGTCCCATCCGCCAGAACCTGGCCGTGGCCGCACCCAGCTGCAAGGAGGCTGGGGAAACGTGGTCTTCATCTGAACCTGTATCCAGCCAAAAGTCAGAGGCTTAGCACTGTGAATTAAGGGAAGAAGAGATGTTGGGCTGCAGCTGGCAGGCCTGGCCAGACCCGGCCCCGCCACCTCTCCTCTCTCCCCCTTGCTCTGACCTCCAGCTACGCCGGCCCCCTCACTGTTCCTTGCGTGCACCCATCTTATGCCCCTCTCGTTCTGCAACGATCCTCCTCCTCTAGGACCCTTGAAGACACCTTCCCAGGACACCCTGCTAAAGTAGCCCCCAACCGCGTCCCCGTCACACCACCTGTTCTTACTCTGGATTCATCTTCCTCATTTATCAGCAAGACCAGAGCTTTGCTCTATTGCCAACTCCTAGCACAGAGCCTGTGGCATAATGGGTGTTGAATGAATGAGTGAATCAATGAATGGGGGAGTGAATGAATGAGCAAATGGGGGAGTGAGGGACCTGGGCAGGATTTTCCCTCATGAGTGAATGAATGAATGGGGGAGTGAGGGACCTGCCGGGGCCCCTGAATGCGCAGCCCGATCATTTGACCTCTAGTGTCCCTCACCCCCAGGCCCAGGTACTCTTCTTCCTCGTCATCATGGTCTCTTTTGCCAACTACTTGGTGGGGACGCTGATCCCCCCGTCTGAGGACAAGGCCTCCAAAGGCTTCTTCAGCTACCGGGGTACGTGCCGGTGGGGGCCCCTGCCCAGGGCTCTGGGGACAGGGACAGCCTGCCCACTAACCCGGCCCATTCTGGGTCGGGAGGAGGGGACCCCCGACTCCCATGGCCGTGAGCTGCCAGCGGAGGCTCCAGCCTGCCCGGCTGGACCGACGAGGGGAGCCACGCCCTCCAGATGGCCCTGACTCAGGCCTGGGCTTTCCAGCTGACATTTTTGTCCAGAACCTGGTTCCTGACTGGCGGGGCGGGGACGGCACCTTCTTCGGGATGTTCTCCATCTTCTTCCCCTCGGCCACCGGCATCCTGGCAGGGGCCAACATCTCCGGGGACCTCAAGGTGAGCAGGACGCCCACCCTACCCGCTTCCTGGCCCTGTCCCACCAGGGTCTCCCACTGGGCACTGAGACCAGAGCTTCTAAAATCCAGTCCAGTCCAACTTCGCTCAATCCAAATCGGTCCCAGCCATTCCGCTCAACTCTGAGATTGTGGATTGGCCGCACCCTATGCCTTGAGGGCCACCCCAACATGGGCTAGTCCCCTCCCTCGTTCCTGGCCCTCTCAGCCTAAGGGGAAGATTGACCCAGCCTGACCTCCCAAACCTCAGACCGGATCCTGCACATCCTGACATCCTCCTGGGGCCCTCCACTGCCTTGATACAGGCAGGCTCCTCGGCTCGGCATTCGAGGCCCCAGCCCACTGTCCCCGTTCCCATGACCCCTGCCCTGGCCCCGAGGATCTACTGCTTTGCCCATGTTGCTCTGTCCCTCCTCCACGCCTCTGCCTCTGCTCTGTTCTTTACCCAGGACTCCCTACCCTTGTTTCTTTACCTCGCAAAGTTCTGTTCCTCTTTCAGAGCCCACCTCCGTCCTTACATCTCTCCCAGCCCTTCCATCAGAGCCCTGCTTCCCCTGGCACAATGATGTCAGGCCCGTTATGTCCCTGTCTCCTCTCCATCTGGAGAACTGAGGCCCTCTATGTCCCATTCCCAGCTAAGAGTCTGACTCACACTGGGTGATCAGTGCATGTTTGTTGAATGAATAGTGGTGAAACGTAGCAAATGGGGAGACGCAGAACTACAAAGTGCTGTAAAGTGGGAGAAAAGGAGAGACTGACGTAGGCAGGGGCTGCTGCAAATGTGGGGCTGAGGTCGGCTTTGAAAAAGAAGAAAGCCGGTGGAGTCTTCGCCGGCGGGAGATCAAATCAGTGGTGTGCAAGTGGGGGTGAATGGTGAGGAGCCTGGCTCTGTGCTGGAAACCTTTACCCTCAATCTCCAGTCCCACTCGACAGGTGCCCCTGATGCATTTTCTTAAATGAATTAAGAATTGTGCATTGGAGACAATCTTGAACCCTGGCCTGGCTCTAACTGGATATGCCCGGGTGGTGCCCAGCAGAGCCTGGAAATCGAAGAGCGGCGTGTTAGCCAGCTCCTCTCCCCTCTCTGGGAGCGGCCAGCAGAGGCCTGGATGGCCCGCCCTGAGGTCCCTGCAGAGGTCAGGCTAGTGCTCAGACAGCCTGGGTCCCCTCCCAGCCCCATAATAGACCATTGCAGCCTGGGGATTTATCTAGACGCTTCATCAAGCTTCTTCAGTTCCTGACCAGCACAGTGTGCCGGCGTCGGCGCCGGGCGGCTGTCCCGGAGCTAGGGGGATGGGAGGGCACCTTTGCTCTGTCCTAAACGCCCAAGCCCTAAAGGGGTCCTTCCCCCTGGATCCGGCCCTCTGCCGTCCCGTGGGACAGTGTGTCCTCAGCAGAAGAGCAGCTCCCGCTCATGGAGACTTTAAGCAAGTCCCTTAAAACTTCTCTGGGCCTCAGCTTACCCAACTGGAAAATGGGACAAACGCAGCTCCCACTTCCCAGGGCAGGCAGTGCGGATTCGAGGAGCTCCTTTACATAAAATGCTTAGAACAGCGCCCTGCACAGAGGAGGTGCTGAGGGCTAGTGGTCAAGGTCGTCATTTTTACTGTGTCGCCGGCACGGCCTTCTTACAGCATCACCCAGAGCAGCCATACCAGCTCACGCCGTCATCAGCCCCGAGTTACAGGGGAGCCAGCAGAGCTCAGAGAGGGTCAGGGCCTGCCCACGGCAGCACACCCAGCGGGCAGAGGAGCTGGAATGCAAGTTTCTAGAACAAAGAGGCCTCAACTTTATCACAACAACTTTATCATTCAAGAAATATTTTTTGAGCATCTGCTTTATGCCAGTGTCTTGTGGATGCAGCAGTAAACAAGACGATCAGAGACAATCAACAAATAAATAAGGAAAATGTGTAGTTTGCCTGATAGTGGTGAGTGATGGGGAGAAAAATAAGGCAGAGAAGGGGGCAGGGCATCCCCGGGCATGGGGGCCGAGGAGCACAGTGCAAACTGAGGCAAGGCAGCCAAAGACCTCTGAGAAGGTGGCATTTGAGCCGAGACTGGAAGGGGCAATGACAAAGTTGTCCTTGTTACTGTGAATCCCTTACATTTCCCCAACCCGTTAGTGCTCACGGAGCAATCTTGTGACCACGATCTCACGTTGGTTTTAATCGTCACAGTCACCCTGTGATGTGGCTGTGGAAACATTATCAGCTCAATATTCCGACTGAGAGACAGAGGCTTGGAGACAAGGGACTTCCTAGTGACTGACGTGGGATCCGTACCAGGCCTGGTGTTGTCCCAGGTTGTCTCCCTCAGCCCAACACAGTCCCCACCCCTAACTGCTCACGTTTATGGGTACTCGCTATGTGCCATGTTAGTTTCTTATTTCACAGATGGAGAAGGCACTGAGGCTCAGAGAGGTTAAGGGCTTTGTCCCAGAGCACACAGCTAGGAAGAGATGGGCTGGGATGTGGACCCAGATATGCCTGACTTGTGAGCTGGGCTCTGAGATTTCAGACCAAGATGTGAGGGTAGGATGGAGGTCAGGGGGATTCATTTCCTGTGGCTGCTGTAACAAATTACCACAAACTTGGTGGCTTAGAACAACAGAAATTTATTCTCGCACAGTTCTGGGAGCCAAAAGTCCAAAACAAAGGTGTCAGTGGGGCCACGCTCCCTCCGAAGGCTCTAGGGAAAAATACTTCCTTGCCTCTTCCGGCTTCTGGTGGCTCCTGACAATTCTTGGTGTTCCTTGGCTGTAGCCGCATCACTGCAATCTCTGCCTCTGTCTTCACATGGCTTTCTTTCCTCTATGTGTCCCTTCCTCTTCTTACAAGGACACCAGTCATTGGATTTAAGGCCCACCCTATCCAGTATGACCTCATCCTAACTAGTTACATTTGCAAAGACCCTATTTCCAAATAAGGTCGTATTCTGTAGTTCTGGGTGAACATGAATTTTTGGAGACACTATTCAACCCACTGGAGGTGGGATGGGAGGTTGACCTGGTCTGTTGGCCTGGAGACCAAAGACTCTGCGTGCTTGACCTAGTCAGGCCGTCCCGGTTCACAGGGCAGGGCTGGCTGGACCATGGCTGCAGGGTCCCCAAAGCAGAGACCTCAGCAGACCTAGGCGCTCCGGAGCCAGCTCTACACCTCTGTTCCCAATTTTCTCTGGCCTGGCACGTCCTTCCTCCTACCCTAGTGCCTTCAGAGCCATCTTGATTGTCCCCTCCACCATGAGGCCTTCTGGGGTTCCTGGCAGGGCGTCTCCTGCCCTTAGTTCCCCGGTGCACTGTGGTCCTCCCCATGGCAGGTGCCAGCTGCCCTATGTTGGCAGGATCCCACCCGTACCTCCTCCCCTTGGGCCGGGGGTCCTTAAGAGCAGAGTTTGGGACTTGGTCATTGCTGAGCAACTGTGGGTTCCAACCCAGGCCCCTGAGTGTTTGAGGTAGAGAACTGGATCATTGCCAGCTTTGTTCTGACCTGCCTGTGAAGCTGAACGATGTCACAGGCCCTCTAAGCTCTGTCATCTGTGGTTCCACCTGCCGGCTGAGTGGTGAGCAGAGTGGCCCAGGGAAGGCGGAAGAGGTTTACGAATTCTACTTCCTGTGACCACCGTGGCTGCCCCTCCTGCCTGGGATCTATGCCTGGAGGGGGGCCTTGTGAAAATCCCAGCCTGTGTTACTCCACCCAGGATCAGCCCCCAAGCCTGAGGCTGTGGACTTGGTGCGGACCAAGCGGCTGCGGTTCTGCGAGCCGGGCCCTCCTCACAGCATCCTGGCCTCAGTTTTCCCACCAGCCAGGTGGGGACGCCCTGGCCACTTCTGGCCACTTCTCGGGAAGTTACATTTAAGGAAGTGTCTAGAAGAGGGAACAGATGGTGCATATGTAAAGGTTTGCTGTTACTGTCAGGAAAATGCCAGCAGGGAGTTCTTTCTCGGAGGAGAGGGAGAGAGTTTGGGGCTTGTGTATATATTTATTGCAGTGGAACCAGACAGATCGATTGGTGCATAATGGGGATTAACACGCAGTGAGCACTGCTGGGGAGCTGGGCCCTGGTCTAGGAGCTTGATGCAGGTTAATTTGTTTTGCCAGCATCCCTGTGGGGCTGCAGGGGCTGAGGCGTGGGAGAGCAAGCTCGAAGCCCAGCTGGTCACCTGGAATTGACCTCAGGCAGGCTGACTCCAGAGCCCTCCGCCCACACCCCATCCCTCACCACGCCGGAGCAAGCCTGGGCCAAGTGTCCTAGGGGCAGGCGTGCAGCTGGTTGGAGTTCTCTCCCTGCCTCAGGCTCCCAGGGTGTGGTCTCAGCCCTGTGACCTTGGTCGTGTCCCATCCTCCCCTGTGGGTCCTCAATCACGAGGTCCCTTCATCTCTGTTTCCCCGGGAAGGGGGCCAAGGTCAGGACTGGCTGCCCCACCCCCAGCCTCAGACAAGGGCGGGGCCTGGAAGGAGGCCCAGAGGCTGCCTGACGCCCCCTTCCCTCCTCCAGGACCCTGCTGTAGCCATCCCCAAGGGAACACTCATGGCCATTTTCTGGACCACTGTCTCCTACCTGGCCATCTCAGCCACCATCGGTAAGTAGCCGGCCCAGACCACTGAAGGGGAGCACAGGGTGGGGTGTGGCTCTCTAACAGGGAGAGCTGGACCAGGAGGACATGGCAACCCAGGAAGTGGAGCCTCGAACCTCATCTTTGGGGGGCAACTTGGTGGTGCCCAGAACATCTTCTTGGAGAGTAGTTTGTGGTGGGGACCGGGGGTCAGACCAGGCTCCTCTGATCCCTTCAAATCTGAAGTTCCAGATTCATGGATGTGAAAGTCCTACAGGACAGATGGTGCTTGAACTCTAGGAATAATAATAACAATAATGATGGTGACAGAGATGCTTCTAGCAACTGAGGTACCATGTGCCCAGCTCTTTATGTGCCTTATCACATTTTTTGTGTGTGTGTGTGAGGAAGATCAGCCCTGAGCTAACATCCATGCTAATCCTCCTCTTTTTGCTGAGGAAGACCAGCTCTGAGCTAACATCTATTGCCAATCTTCCTCCTTTTTTTTTTTTTTCCTCCTAAAGCCCCAGTAGATAGTTGTATGTCATAGTTGCACATCCTTCTGGTGGTTGCTGTCTGTGGGACATGGCCTCAGCATGGCCGGAGAAGCAGTGCATCAGTGCACGCCCAGGATCCGAACCTGGGCCGCCAGTAGCGGAGTGCGCGCACTTAACCGCTAAGCCACGGGGCTGGCCTGCCTTATCACATTTAATCTGGGCACTTCTACCGGTCATTTCTACCACTTTACAGAGGAGAAAACGAGGGCTCAGAGAGATTAGGCGACCTGCCCAAGGTCACACAGCCGCTGTGTGGTGGAGCCAGGCTTTGAACACAGCCTGGGCTGTTGACACTTGCCTCTCACTGAGACCCTCACAGGTGCTCTTGCTCCCAGGAACCCCCTTGGGAGGTAAGCTGCTCACAGATGGCCAAGGGATGTGATCCAGGTCACAGCCAGTCAGGCCTGAGACCCAGGTGTCTGCTTTAAAGCGGACATTGTGGCCATAGACAGGTCACTTGAGCTCACTGTGCCTCTGTAGAATAGCAATGACCACAAGAGTAATAGTAATCCCTGCTTCCCAGATTGTTTAAAGAACTTAGCACACTGTGTGGCACGTCCTAAGTGCTCCTGCATGTTAGCTACATCATTGTCATGATTATTATTGCATACATTCTTGTTATTGCATACATTATTATTTTTTTTTATAATTTTATTTATTTATTTATTTTCCCCCAAAGCCCCAGTAGATAGTTGTATGTCATAGTTGCACGTCCTTCTAGTTGCTGTATGTGGGATGCAGCCTCAGCATGGCCAGAGAAGCGGTGCGTCGGTGCGCGCCCGGGATCCGAACCCGGGCCGCCAGCAGCGGAGCGCACGCACTTAACCGCTAAGCCACGGGGCCGGCCCTGCATACATTATTATTATTGCACAGCAAAGGAAGAGCTGGCCCATCAGCAGCATCTCGCCCTCTGCAGAGTGGCCAGCATTTTGGGGGTGGGAGGGGAGGAGAGAGACCTCCCCATGCCCTCCTTCCTCTTCAGGCTCCTGTGTGGTTCGCGACGCCTCCGGGGACCTGAACGACACGGTGACCCCGGGCTCGGGTGCCTGCGAGGGGCTGGCCTGCGGCTACGGCTGGAACTTCACGGAGTGCTCCCAGCAGCACAGCTGCCACTATGGCCTCATCAACTACTACCAGGTCACACGGCCTCTGCCGGGAAGTCTGCCCCGCCAGAGGCAGGGAGGGACCAGGCGGAGGCTGGAACAGCCTGGGATAGACATGATTTGGGGGGCTGGAGGAGAGAGGTTGGGGCGCAGGTGGAAGCCACTGGGCCCAGTCCCTGCCTCGGTGGGTACTGGGATACCTGGGGGAAGGTTGATCCAGATGGAGGCATCAGGACCCAGCCCTTGGCCACAGTGGGGATTGGGGTGCCGGGACCAGCCCCCCACCGTGGGGGCCCTGAACCCCATGTCCCTGCAGAGCATGAGCATGGTATCCGGCTTTGCACCCCTGATCACGGCTGGCATCTTTGGGGCCACCCTCTCCTCTGCCCTGGCCTGCCTTGTCTCTGCCGCCAAAGTCTTCCAGGTGAGGCTGCGGGTGGGGGGCAGGTAGCAGTCTAGGAGGCCCAGGGGCAGGGTCCCCAGGTGACTGCCACAGAGGCCCGGCGGTGTCATCTGACAGGGGGCTCTAGACGGGAGGAAGAAGGGCAGGGGAGCAAACTCTGGCAGGAAGCAGCCCCCTCCTGCAGTGGAGAGCACCTGCGTGTCCCACCCTGGACCCTCCCCTGTGCAGCCTGCACCCGCCTGCAATTCCACCGTCCCAGCCTCACCCCGTGCCGTCGGCCCCTCTCGCTTTGCCCTTTCACCGTCTCCGTGGGGAGGCTGAGGAGGACAGGGCGATCACTCCCATTTAACAGAGACAGAAGCTGGGCCCCAGATGGGGAAGCGCCCTGCTGAGGTCACCAGGGAGCAAGCAGGGGCTGGGGGCCAGCTGGCCACAGGGGCGGGGAGAGGAGGGGGCAGGTCCCAGCCAGTGGGTGAGCGCGTGTCCTGTGCCCACAGTGCCTGTGCGAGGACAAGCTGTACCCGCTGATCGGCTTCTTTGGCAAGGGCTACGGCAAGAACAACGAGCCGGTGCGTGGCTACCTGCTGGCCTATGCCATCGCCGTGGCCTTCATCATCATTGGTGAGGGCTGCCGGGGCGCGCGGAGGCCTCCTCTCCTGGCGGGCAGCCGTGAGGGCCGCGGGGACAGGGCTCCTCTCTGTTCTGCTCACCTCGGTACCCAGTGCCCAGCCAGGCCTGACCAGTGCTGGTCAGTGGTCAGTGAATAACTCAGTGAATAACTCGAGTGGGCGAGGCCCCGGCCGGAAGGAGACTTTGGGAAATCATTGGTCCCTCCTCCTTCCCCACCTCCAGGCCAGGCAGGGGGACATTCTGTTTTGTTAGAAGGGACCCTACCTGCTTTTCCTGGTTTTGTTCTCCTGTGTCCTCGCAGCTGGGACCCCTCCCCACCAGGTCTGAATTAGCCCCCAGGACACTTTGGGAGCACAGGACAAGCTGACTGGTCCCTCCTTGGGAGCTGATACAAACAGCTGGATCAATATCTCTGTAGGTGCATAAACAAGGCAAACCTCATTTCTCAGCCCTTGAGCTGCTAGGCCCCTTGGGCATCAAGGCAGGGGATGCCCTTGGAGAAAGAGCCCAGGGAATCAGTTAGTGAGACTGACTTTCTGTCCTGGCTTTGCCATGTGCCAGCTGTGTGACCTTGAACAAATCACTTCACCTCCCTGAGCCTCAGTTTCCTCATCTGCAGAAGGGGAGCAATAGTGCAGAGCAGGTGTGTCACAGATGGGCAGGAAGAAACCATGTGTGTATGCACACACACTTGCACACACATATGTATTCATATATGCACACATTCACGTGTGCACACACCCCAAAACGTCCCGATTTACTAAGCCAGCAAGATAGAACCCACTAAAAGAGAGGTGGCCACACCAAGCACGGGCAGTGGCCATGCCACGGCATGATGTCCCCCAGGCCCTGCTCTGTATGCAGGAGTGGGGCGGGGGTCGCCTGCTGGCGAACCTCCCCAGGCTGGGTGGCACCTTCCTGCCCCAGCTGAATCCCTGCTACTCAGGCCGGCATCACCAATCCATGACACCTACCCTAGTGGTCTAGTCGCCTCCACTCAAGGGAACCTTTTCAGACCCTGGATACTCCCAACAGGGCCACCCCCAGGGGATGGAAATGTCTAGTCAGGCCTGGTGTTCCCCGACTCGTCTCCACTTCCAGCTCACCCCCCTCCCCATTCGGATTTGACATCCTTCTATCTGGGTGGTTCTGACTGGACTTCACGCTGATGCTCTGGGGCAAGGTTCTGGTGGCGATTCAGTGGCATCATGTCCAGAAGGCCCAGCACATAAGAGGGGCTCGTCTTGTTTGGGGATCCCCCAGAAGTAGGCCCCGAGGCAAGGATTCCTGTGCAGAAGTTTGTCTGGGGATACGGGGGCAGTGGCAGGGGAGGGGGGCAGTGAGACAGGGAAGGGAAGGAGCCAGTCTTGAGTGGGTTTCCACTGTGGGTGGAAGTGTGCTATGGGCTCAGGGTTTCAGATAAAAGATGACGCATGTCCTAGGTCACACTGTAAAATATATTTCTTCCTGTAATTTGTGGTCACATAAAAGAGGGTGACAGCCGTTGCCCTTGGCCACCCCGTAGCCTGACGGGGTCTGCTCTCACACTGCTCTCCATTCTCTTAAAAGCTGGCAGTTGACAGTTTACAGAACATCAGCCCTTTGAGCTTCACAACATGACGGACCCATTTCATAGATGAGAAGGTTGAGACTCGTTGAGCCTCGGTGGCCTGTCTGGGGTCCCCTACCCTTCAAGGGAGGTGCCAGGTGGCTCCTTGGGGGGGTTGCCCGAAAGACTGTCCTCTTTCTCCCTCGGGTCCCTGAAGCTGAGCTCAACACCATCGCCCCCATCATCTCCAACTTCTTCCTGTGCTCCTACGCCCTCATCAACTTCAGCTGCTTCCACGCCTCCATCACCAACTCCCCCGGTAAGCAGCCCCCTCCCCGCTCACGGGAGGAGGCACCTGGGGCTGGGGTATGGAGAGGGGAGAGGAAGGCGTGGATGGAAGTGGGCAGAGCAAGGTCACCTCTCAAATCAAAACCAATTAAAGGGACCATTTATATCATAATAATAATAATAGCAGCTCTCCTTTATCAAGTACCTGCAACGTATACTGTACATGGATTCACACACTGTTTACAGTGTGCAGCGATTTTTCTAGTGCCTTCCCCCACCTATTTTATCAGAGTCAGGAGTCTGGCTCCCCAGAGAGAAGAGATTTGCCCAAAGGCACAGACAGGTTGTGCAGGTTGCACATTGGACAACTCGAGAGGGTGCCACTCCTAGATGTCATAGAGTGTATGTTTATTAAGAAGATTTTCTGGCAGATGGCAGTAAAGAGTCTTGAGGGCGACTTTGTCTAATTAGCCCCAAATCGCCAATGGGCCAGTCGCCGGGCTGCCATTTCTGTAGACCATGGACCGTGGTGCCCCCAAGGTGTGCCAAGGGGCAGCTGCTCCTAGTGGTGGCCCTGGCATGGCCTGCAGGTGTGGAGCCAGCAGAATCACGTCCTTCCCCTCCATCTCACCCCCTTGGCTCTGCGTGAGCCATGGGAACCAGTGTCCATTTGGGGCCGGAGCTGGACCCCTCCTCCTCGGTGTAGCCTGTCAACATGGTGGATCCCCGTTGCCAGCCGAGGCGGGCGTGTGGTCCTCCCTAGAGCCTCCAGGCCCAGCCCCAGGAGGCAGGGTGGGTGGGCACAGGCTGGACTCCAGCCCTGGGCACTGCGGGCATTGCCACCCAGGCCCTGCCCAGCAGCGCTGGCCCAGGAGGAAGCTCCAGATTGCTGAACGTGCCACTGACCTGTGCCCCGCCCAGGCTGGAGACCCTCGTTCCGATACTACAGCAAGTGGGCGGCGCTGTTCGGGGCGGTCATCTCCGTGGTCATCATGTTCCTTCTCACCTGGTGGGCAGCCCTCATCGCCATCGGCGTTGTCCTCTTCCTCCTGCTCTATGTCATCTACAAGAAGCCAGGTGTGTGGTCTCAGGCTGCAGGGGGCTCAGGGCCCCTTCTCCCCCTGAAGGCATCCTGCCCTTTAGCCCAGCTAGAGGGCCTGCACCGGGCTCCGTGCCCTCGAGGCCCCGCTCTGGCCCTCCGACCTTGTTCCTCTCCGTGGGACAAGGCATCCAGGGAATGTGCCCACTCAGAGCCCAGAACTCTACTTCTAGAGCACCCCCGGGCACCCAGGACCCTGGATTGCCTGCCCAGGTCCCTCCTCCTGAGAGTGGCCAGCCCGCTGGTGTACACACCTAGGCTCGAGGGGTGGCCAGGGATTGAAGGGCAGGTGGACAAAGCGTGGACTCAGGGGCAGGAGTGTCTACGTGCACGCAGGGTCTGCATGAGAGCTGGGAGTGGGATGCAGATCTCCAGGAAAGCCTAGAATTCTGCATTTGAACCTGGCCTTCCAGGTCATTGTGAAGGTCTGTTTGTCAAGGGAGGTGAATATTTTGTAGCGTTTAATACCTTGATGTAACTTTCAAAGTGGTAGCCATATGGTATGTGCAAAGGTTAGGAGCAGACCTCCAGGCTGTCCACCCACCAGGAGGCTCTGCTCCCGTGGGTGCTAGGTTCCTAAAGAAGGTCGACACCCCCTCCCTCTGCGTGTCTGGTTTCTCTTGGTGATTTCTGATCTTGTCCTCACCCCCCACGCTCAGAGGTAAACTGGGGCTCCTCGGTCCAGGCTGGCTCCTACAACCTGGCCCTGAGCTCCTCGGTGGGCCTCAACGAGGTGGAGGATCACATCAAGAACTACCGGTGAGCGCAGCCTCCGGGACCCCGCTGGGGCCCAGGGAGGGCCATGGCCCTGCTCTGCAAGGCTCCACGCCAAGACCTGTCACCTGACCCGGGCAGGGAACAGAGGTGGAGGTGGACCACCAGCAGTCAGGGGACTGGGGTTGACATTGCCTGATGGGGACCAAGCAAGTCGAGTGACCTCTCTGTACCTCAGTTTCCACAGTGGAACATGCTCTTCTGACTGCAGAGGGCCATCTGGTGTTGTAATTCCCACCACAACCATTCGTGAGGCCAACTGTGATGAGCCTCTCCCGGGCACTCTTCAAAGCTAATTCCCCTCCTTGGCGAGGAGAATCGTGTGCCCAGGACCCCTTCCCACCAGATCGCAATGCTAATAATCGGCTATATCTATCTATGTTGCATTTACTGTGAGCCAGATGCTGCACAAAGTCCTTACACAGCCTCATGACAACCCTCTGAGATACATGAAATCACTAACCCCATTCACGGATAAAGACACTGAGGCACAGAGAGGTTAAGTAACTGGCCCCAGGTCACACAGCTGGTGAGTGGCCAATTTCTTCTGGCTCTGACTCAGTCAAGTAGTGGCCCTTGACCTCGATCCTCAGCTGCCTCTTGACACAGAGGCTGAGTCACCCACCTAGGTGACACAGTGAGCTCCTAAGTGACGGGCCTCCCCATTCCCAGTCTTTATCTTCCCACCACCATGCTGGGAAGGTGGTTTGCCCAAGTGGAGCCTGAGCTGGTGGCCTGAGCGGGAAGGACAAGGGGACACCCAGTGTGGAGGGCACCAAGAGAGCTGGAAGGGCCCCAAAGTCGCCCTTGGGTCACAGACGGGAAGATGAGGCCACAGGGTGGTTCACCTGTCTAGGAAGGGAGACCCGGAGGTGGCGGAAATCCTGGGGCACCTGTGTTTGGCATCCAGACCCTGGGCTCTGTCCTGATGGCTCATGCCCTTTTCCCTTCCCCTCCTCAGCCCTCAGTGCCTGGTACTCACGGGGCCCCCCAACTTCCGCCCGGCCCTGGTGGACTTTGTGGGCACCTTCACCCGGAACCTCAGCCTGATGATCTGTGGCCACGTGCTCATCGTGAGTGCCCCCTGCAGGCGGGGCGGGGCTGTACTCCTAGAGGAGCCTCAGGGCACAATGTCCACCCACAGGGGTGCGGGGTGGGGATGGGGGCGGAGGGGCTGTGGAACCAGCAGAGCTGGGCCAGGCCCCCTGCAGGCCTGGTTCTCTCTCCTTCCCTGTCCCTCTCATTGTCTTCTCCCCACTGCTCTGCCTCTCCCCTGCTCCCTCATCTTCCTCCCTGCCTCCACCCTCTTCTTTCCCTCCCCTAACTCCATAAGGGAAAACAGGCACCTCTGGGTGCTGCTGAGCCCAAGGGGCAGCCTCCAGGGCAGAAGAGGGACTGAGTCTCAGGCCAGAAGCCAAAGGCAGCCCCTGACGTCGTCTGCCCCCACCACCCACAGGGACCCCGCAAACAGAGGATGCCTGAGCTCCAGCTCATCGCCGACGGGCACACCAAGTGGCTGAACAAGAGGAAGATCAAGGCCTTCTACTCGGACGTTATCGCCGAGGACCTCCGCAGCGGCGTCCAGATTCTCATGCAGGTGCCGTGGGTTCAGAGCTCCCCCATATGACTTACTAATCAGTGTGACAACCTGGAAGGTGGGACATCCTGAGGGGCTAGTTGAAGCCCTTTTTCTGCAACGAGAGTCCCACATCTGCTGCATCTCCAGACATGCCCATTCAGGGCACTTTCTCAAGTGCCCAGGACCTGGGGAAACTAACTTGGAAGCTTTGGGGGCCATGTGACCTTGGATGGATCTTGTTTTCTTTTTTCTTGGTGAGGAAGATTAGCCCTGAGCTAACATCCATTGCCAATCCTCCTCTTTTTGCTGAGGAAGATTGGCCCTGGGCTAACATCCATGCCCATCTTCCTCTACTTTATATGTGGGACCCCACTACAGCATGGCTTGATAAGTGGTGCGTAGGTCCACACCCGGGATCTGAACCTTCGAACCCCAGGCCGCCGAAGCAGAGCACATGAACTTAACCACTACCCCAGCGGGCTGGCCCCTTTTGTTGTTGTTGTTGTTGTTTTAAGATATAATTTACAGACAGTAAAGTCAAAAAATACTAAGTGTATGGTTTGATAAATGTTTACATACCCAGACACCACTCAGTGGCATGAAACCACCACTCATATCAAGATCTAGAACATTCTACTGGGCAGTTAATTTTACTGCTCAGTTTTCTCATCTGTGAAGAGGGATACAGTTGTTAATTCTAGGTCAACATATGGGAATCCTTTTCAATAGTTTTAAATATTTCTCAAAATTAAAAAAAGAGCATAGACAGTCTCCTTTTGGGGTCATGAAAATATTTTGGGAGTAGATAGAGGTGATGGTTGCACAACATTGTGAGTATACTAAATGCCACTGAATTATACCCTTTAAAATGGTTAATTTTATGTGTTAATGTTATGTGAATTTGACCTTAAAAATTTTTTTTAAAAATTTTAAGTACTAAAAAAAGAGAAATATAAAAGATGTGTGGATTGGATGACCTAGGAATACTCCAAGCTTGACATCCGAATTCAAGTCCCTTGTTATGAGAAATAGTTCGAAAGAGAAGCAGGAGCTGGGATAACCCAGAACTAATGGGACAGTCTGGTCATGGGGCCAGGCTCGGAGAGGCCACAGGGGATAACTTCGGCTGTAGGTAGCTTCACCTTTCTCGTGGTGCGTCCAGGCAGACAGGACCCTGGACTGGGGGATGTTTCCTGAGCCCTCCTCACATGGTGGATGGGGCAGCTGGGCCGAGACAGAGCTCCACCCTAGTCACAGAGCAGAGCCCCTGCTGGGCATGAGGCCTGACCCCTCACCTCACCCCCCACCCTCGGCCACACCCCCTCCCCCCACCAGGCTGCAGGTCTCGGGAGAATGAAGCCCAACATCCTGGTGGTGGGGTTCAAGAAGAACTGGCAGTCGGCTCACCCTGCCACGGTGGAAGACTACGTCGGCATTCTGCAGTGAGTGAGGGCACGAGGGAGGCAGGGCCTAGCGTCTGTCGATTTGGGCCTTTGGAGTTTCCTGAGCCTGGGCAAGCGAAGGGAAGCAGTGCTATGAAGAAGCTGCATCCGCTGGTTCAAAGCTGAGGAAGAAACAGACAGACTGGGGGTTCCCCACTCTGACCTGTGGGTCTTGGTGATCTGTGGGATACCAAGATCGGCAGGGAACAGGCAGGTAACACAGTGAAATGGGCCCGGTGTGGGACAATACAGAGCAGTGAGGACTGTGGTGAACTGGATAGAGCAGCTATTACTTGGCTCCAGCCAGTTGTGCCCAGGCAGAAATGTGGACCCAGGGTTGCCAGATCTAGTTTTTCAGGGAAGTTGAAAATGTGGATTTCTAGGTGAAAACCTTGTGCCCACCTATGGGCTGCAGAAGACCTACAGATAGCCAGCTCTCGAGCTGTGAGGTGGTACCATTGAGTGAGAAGTCAAACCAGGCCTCCAAGGAGGCGACAAGACAAGCTTGGGGAATGGGACCAGGGGATGAACTCCCTGGGGATTTCAGGGTTAACTCCAAACCCTTTCTCCTTCGGCTCTTGTGTGCAAGGCTCAGAAAATGCCTGCCTGAGTTGCTTTCTGCATTGATGTGGTACAGAGAGGAAGTGTGCAATGGCATTTAAAGAACGCCAGGCTGAGGGTTAGGGACCTGGGGCCTGCCTCCATGTCTGCTGTGAACCAGCTGTGTGACTCTGAGCAGGGCGTCTCAGCTGCCCCTGACAAAACCACAGCAATCCTTGCTCTCAGGCCCCCTCCCCAGCTCCAACATTGCAAGACTCCAAAATTCTGGGTCCTGAAAGGTCCCTGTCCCAGGGACATGTAATGGAAGGAGTCCAGGAGGGCGATGCTGGACCTATTAGTCACACCCGAATGCTGGGCTCTCGGTCTCTGTGTCAACCGGGCAGTCAATACCCGTCTGGGGCAGGAGTCTTCTGGAGCCCGTTGCCAATAGACGACCTATTGCTGCCTTCATGAGTGAGACCCTTCCTGTGTGGATGTGTGCCCTCGGGTCTACACTCTTGGCTATTTAATTCTAATCCCAGCTGGCCACTTCCTTTGTTGTCTGATCATGGAAAAGTGACTCCCCAAAACTCAGTTTTTGCATCTGTAAAACGGGGATAATAATTCCCATCCCCACCTCTGTTGGCAGAGCTGTGAGGATTATCCAAATGTATCAGGGGGACAGGGCCTGGCTCCAAGACTGGCCTGACTTGGTTTCTCCCTGAGTACAGGGTCCCCAGGGCCACAGACTGTAGAGCTAGTGGGGTTCTGGGGACTCTCCAGTTCTGCCTGCACATTGTATAGATGGGGAGACTGAGGCCCAGAGAGCAGAAAGGGTGTGGTGGGAGGCAGAGCCAGCTCTGGACATCTGGTCTCCTGGGGGCTGGGGCCGGGTCCAGGACGAGCCTGACCCCACCTCCTCTCTCTCCAGCGATGCTTTTGATTTCAACTACGGGGTGTGTGTCATGAGGATGCGGGAGGGTCTCAACATCTCGAAGATGATGCAGGCACACAGTGAGTACACACCCCACCTGCTCGGCACCCCTGTCAAAAACCGGAACAGGATCCCAGAAAGTTCTAGAACCCAATTTTTTTTAAGTGGTGGAGGGAAGAGAGGGGAAAATTAGTAAGGAATAAAAGGTCACAGACTCCTAGAAAGTCAGCTTTTGCTGGTCCCTTTGAGCTCATCGGGTTTCCAAATGGAGAAACTGAGGCCCAGAAAGGGGAAGTGACCAGTTCAAGGTCACGCTTCCAGCTGTGGGCAGAACGGGAACCAGAACTCAGGGATTCCCCAATCACGATGAGAGCTTTTGTAATCAGATGGGATAAAGAGGATCTAGAAGAGAGGAAAAAGGAAGAGAGGAGAACGCCCACATGAAGACACCGGAACGTGAACCCACACACATAAGGCCACGAAAACTGGACATTTTGGTCTCTGAGACCATCGCTGGGGCCCGGAGTGGGGAAGTGTTTTACATGTAAAGTCACATGTGAATATGCAGACTCTGAATTAGTAATATTTAGAGATGTGAAAGAAATCGAATATATAAAAACAAACAGGGGGGTGGTGGGGGAACTGAGAGGTGTGGACGCTGGGTCTCCTGCGGGCAGGGCTGGTCTTGTTCATCCGTGTCACCGAGTGCCGAGGGCACGCCTGGCACAGAGCAGTTGCTCGGCGAATATTTATGCAACCAGTATTTGCAGAGCAGCAGCCACGCTCCTGATGACGCTGTTCTAGGCGCTGGGGGTGCAGCCGGGGACAAACCTGAGTCTGCCCCTGGGGAGCTGACGATCAGGGGGAAATGCGGTGGTTATAAGACGTTTCAGACAATGACTCCGACATGGGGCACGTGGTCAGGAAGGCCTCCCTGAGGAGAGGGCCTTGTGCTAGACGGGGGGCTGGGGAGAGAATGCTCCTGGCTCAGGGAACACCCACCACTGAGGCCTGCAGGGGAATGAGTGAGGGCTGTTTGAGGAGCACAAGGAAGCCGGGTGGGGCTGGAGCATGAAGGGCCAGGTCCAGAGGGAGGCGGGGCCGGATCAACTGGAAGGTGAGGAGCCAGGGCTTTCTTCCTGGTGTGAGGAGGAGCCCTGGAGGAGGAGGAACCAGGACGTGCCCCAGGCAGGGGAGCCTGGGGACAAAGCTGCCTTCTCTCTTGCAGTTAACCCTGTGTTTGACCCAGTGGAGGACGGCAAGGGAGCCAGCGCCAGTGGGACCAGGCCGTCTGTCTCCTGCACACGTCAGTCCCCACCCCACACAGCAGCTCAGGGCACTCACCCTGTGGGGCAGCTAGTGGTGGGCCACACGGGAACTTGGTCACGGGCAAGGGACATCCAGGACCCCTGGGGTCGGGTCACTGAGGGGGAGAGGGCTTGGGCAGTATTAAAGATTGCCACCCTGCTGGGGAGTTCAGTGTCCAGACATTATGGGAACCCACTCGCTGGGCTCTGGGCCCATGTCCCGCCCCCTCTAAGGCCCCTCATGCTCAAATGTTACGGGCAGGGAGGGCAGAGGCAGGGTTCTCCTTCAGTCCTTTCCCACTGATGCTCTGGGAGGCAGCGGACCTACAGTGCAGGAGCTGGGGGCATCCTGTGGCCATCTGTGAGGGGCAGAGAGGAGTCTTTAAGAGAATGGACCCCACCCCTAATGCCCACCAGAATCCTGGAAGACAGAAGCTGGGAGCAAGGGAGGGGCGCGTCCCGGACCCCTGCTCCTGGTCCACCCGCCAGAGCCTCAGAGACTCAGTGTTAGGAGGGTCCCTGACAGTGCTCTGGGCTAGTCCCTCGATGCACACCCGCTGCAGGGTGCCTCCAGCCACTGCGTGCACAGCCCAGGTGACAGCGAGCCCACCTTACAGGGCAGCTGGCTCTGTTTTCAGACTCAGGCATTTGAATGTGCTCTGCTCCCGTGTGACCTGCCCTCTGCTCCTGCAGTGGACCCCGAGGCCCTGGCACGGGAGGAGCAGGCCAGCACCATCTTCCAGTCAGAGCAGGGCAAGAAGACCATCGACATCTACTGGCTATTCGACGATGGAGGTCAGCGCCCCTCAGACACTAGCTCTCCCTCAGGCCATCTTCCCTCCATGACTCTATGTCTCTTGGCCTGCCCTTCTTGGCTGCTCTCAACAAGGCCTCTGGTGGGACCTCAGAGCCCAACAAAGGGACCTAGGGATCCCCGGGCCTACCACTGGGCTCGGGGGAGCCCGGCTGGGCCCCTCTCTCAGACCCAATTTTTCAGCTGTAAAATGAGGACTCTATGGGAGGAACTGAGGTCAGTATGAGATGGAACCTTCAGACTGGACAGGCCTTAGGGCTCACAGCACATGACACAAATGGGAGAGATGGGCTGGTGCACAGGAAATCTGTAGGAATATTCTTCACTTCCCAAAGAAATATACTCTCTTCCATTTTTCCTAAAACATGTGACTCTCAGCTTTATTATTCCCACCTTTGATAGAGCCCCAGATAGAGAGAAAATGTTTCTGCTCCAATGGGATACATCCTATGACTGACAGCTGATATAGATTGAGCACTTACTATATGCTTGACACTGAGTACTTTACACGGGTTAACCTAATGCAATCCCCGGGCAGGAAGTGTTGTTAGCCCCCCTTCACAAATAGGGAAACTGAGGCACAGAGCGGTGAAGTAATTTGTGGATGGCACAGGGATAAGTGACAGCATCTCAATTTTCATGTGAAATCCCCCAATTATTAAATGCCAGCTCACTTATTCCAAACATCGTGCAGGCCATTTAAACCCCGGCCACAGCTCCCTCTGGTCTAGTCCGGCATGCTCATTATACAGGTGGGTGAACGGAGGTCCAGAGAGGGGACGGGTTTGCTGGTGGCAGGGCGGGGCGGGACCCCAGAGAGCGCGCTATCCTGAGAGCGTGTTCCTCTCCGCTCACGGGGCCCTCGTCGCCAGGCCTCACCCTCCTCGTCCCCTATCTCCTGGGCCGCAAGAAGAGGTGGAGCAAATGCAAGACCCGCGTGTTCGTGGGGGGCCAGATCAGCAGGATGGACCAGGAGAGAAAGGCGTAAGTGGGAGCACGGGCAGGGGACCCCCCGGTGTGCCCCTTCCTGCTCCCCCACCCTCGGCCGCAGCAGTGCGAGGGAGCTCTGGGCAGGAGCGGGTTCCTCTCCATTTCAGAAGTTGTGGCGTCCCGTCCCCCTTTAATAAGGTGCAGACGCCCTAGTCCCGGCCGTGACAGGGAGGGGTGTTCAGTTTTAAAACCACGAACCTCCTCAAGGAGAAACGTGTGTGGAGTGCAGGATGGAGAAGTCCCCTCCTCCTGAGAAGGAGGTGGAGCTTACAGTCCTTGGGGGCAATGTCCCCTCAAGCTTGGGTTGCGTCCCTGGTGAGGCCAGAGGTGACGTGAGTGACCAGGAGAAGGGGTAGCAAGTCCCACAGAATCTCTTGGTGAGAAGTGACTTAATCCTCCTCCAATCCTGCGGCTGATTCTGTGCTGGGGAACCCGTGCTGATCTCCTGTCTGAGCAAGAGAGGGCAGGCCTGGCCTGGGGGCTTGGCAGGCAGTGGCGTCCGGCCAGAATTTAGTGACGTTGGTTTATTTACTTGAGTTTTATTGATCACCTCTTTCTGGCATGAGGTGCTGGTTTTCTGTTTAAATTGTGATATGAAATTTCCTTACAAGATGTATCTGAGTAAGAACGTGAGTTGATTTAAGCTGAAAAGGAAGTAAATAGTAAGGCAGGTACACAGGTGGGGAGGTGCAGGAGTTGGGCAGGTGGCACAGGTGTGCTTAGAGTTGGGCGACTGCTGCTTTAGAGCCAGGTCACGCAAGGTCAAAGGTCGTAGGATGGAGGACCACTGGAGGGTGAGCGTGGGCAGGGAAAGATGGTGGCTTCCCCAAAGTTGTGCAATTAACTAGCCAAAGAGAAGAAACCCTGCTCAGCCTGTAGGGCCCTCGGCAGCGATCCCGGCCGTGATGCTCCAGGGTCAGGAGCCCGTGGCCTGTGCCACCCTAGTCCTGTGCCAGGACTACATCCCCACGACCCCTTCTCAGTCACCTCCTGCGTGAGTTAAGCCCAACCCAGCCAGCCCATCTCATTGTCCTCACCCCCTCTGAGAACTTCTCCACCGGAAGACCCTACTCAGCAGTGCTTGGGGAAATAGTGTCTGGCTTCTGTGTGATCTGCAAAGGGTAAAGAAGCCACAAGGCTGCTCTGCAGCCTTAGCTTCCGGTCCCAGCTCCCGGTGGAAGTTGGGCTCAGCGGGGTTCGTTCAGCTCAAGGCCGTGGCACCGTGGGGTCACGGGATGTCTTCCAAGCAAAGCTCGTGAAACCTCCTCAGCCTGCCAACTCTCTCTCTACTGGGTCACGTCCTCTGCCCTCCTCGTGACCCTGGCCAGGCCTGCGCTGCCTGCGGCCCAGGCCCTGCCCACCCCCACCCCCGCGCCCGAACTGCGCACCAAGAGCTCTGCCCACAGCTCTGCTTTCCTAACTTCCCTCCCAAGCTCCAGGGCCGGCGGTGGTTTGATGGCTGGGCCCCAGCCTGGTCTTTTGGGCTTATCTCCCCCTCCTTCCTCTCTCCCAGCCCCCCACTGCTCCCGCTCCACCCGCTGCACCCCCATACCTTTGCTCATTTGGACTCCCCTACTGGGGTGCTCGCATCCCACGAACTAGTCCTGGGATATCGCCAAAGCCAAGTCTCGCCCAGGGATTCTGACGCCGTGGGGGGCTAGGGCCAAGGCAGGGATGTTGTTCACAAGGCTCCTTGGGTGATTCCAATGTGGACCCCCCCACTCCACCCCCTTTGGCCTATAACAGTCTTACCCACCATGCATCATCTGGCCAGATCGCCACCTCCTCTGTGAAGCCTTCCCTGATGGCTGCAAACCACGGTTGACGTCTCCTCCCCAGTTGCACGCAAAGTTGGCACCGTCTGGCTTGCTGGTCCCATCTGTACTTAGTTCGTGTGTTATCTTTGCTTCCTCAGCCATCCTGTAATTTCCTGTACTGCATCTTCCCATCCCTTAGACCTTTGCTTCTCAAAGTGTGGTCCATGGACCAGCAGCTTCGCATCACTGGGGAACTTCTCAGAAATGCAGAATCCCAGGCCCCATCCCAGGCCAGCTGAATCAGAACCTGCTTTATAACAAGTTCCCCGGCTAGTGCGTGGGTGTGCTATGACAGAGAGGGCCACCAGGTGCTTGGGAAGTACTGGTCAATAACTTTTCCGTGTCACTTGTCACCATCTGACCTACTTTATCAATGTTCGTTTATTGTCCACCCCCCTCCCAGGTTAGAATATAAACTCCCTGAGAGCAGTGAGCAGATCGGACCTGTTTTGCTCAATAAAAATTCATTGAATGAATGAATAAATACAATTTAAAAAATATCCGTCTTCCAGGATCATTTCTCTGCTGAGCAAGTTCCGGCTGGGGTTCCACGAAGTCCATGTCCTTCCTGACATCAACCAGAAGCCGCGGGCTGAGCAGTGAGTTCTCTCTCTGTACTGGGGGTTCCAGGCAGAAGGGCCAGCTGTGTGCCCCGCAGGCCCTCTGCCCAGCGTCCCTTTCTCTCTGGTGAGCTGAGGGCAGAGGGGCCGCCCTCGCCACCACCGCCTAGACAGGGCTCATGGAAAGAAAGAGGAAGGGTCAGCATTTGCAGCCGTTTATTTTCATGCTTGTAGTTTTTTCTTTGCATATCAGAGCTCTGGGCTTTTTCAGAAACACACCTGGGCTGGAGGCAGATGAATGTTCACATTTGTGCTTTTCTTAGAGCAAAGTGGTTTTTAAGCTCTTATGATTGCAGGTCATGGCTGTTCTGCCTCTTGAGCAGAGCCCACTGTTTCATCCACGGGGACCCCCCAACCCCCACCCCCACCCCCACCCCAGAGACCTGGGGGCCGAGGGAGTGTCTGGCTTCACACTTCACAAGCCCAGGTTGCTTGCTACTCATAAAAGGCTGATTTTACCTCTGAAAGTGACTGGTTTTCTAAATTTTCCCTAGCACCTTGAGTGTTATCATCAAACAGTGGTTTTCAGACCTTGGCAAGTGTCAGAATCACCGGGAGGGCTGGTGAAAACATAGCTTGCTGGGTCCCACCCCCAACAGTCTGAGTCAGTAGATCTGGGAGAGGGCCCGAGAACATGTGTTTCTAACAAGCTCTCAGGGGCTGGTGCAGGCACTCCACTACGAGAACCACTGTCTGAGAGACAATCCATGGAAAGGGCTTGACGCAGCACCCAGCCCAGCGTCAGTGCCCAGTAAATGCTGGATTCGTGGCTTCCACCTACTGGCGCTTCTGAGCTCTCTCTGCATCTTGCCCTCTCCTTGCAGTCCCAGCTCCACTGCGAACTGCCTCGTTCTCCAGGCGTTGCCTCATTTACCTTCCTGAGAAAGGGCCTGTGCCTAGCCCAGCTCATCCCTTCCTGCCAGGCCAAGGTAGAGGTTACTGGAAAGCCTATTTCTTGGCTACTTTTGGTCCAGTTGGCCATGGGCAGGGGTGGCATAGTCATATGGCCCAAAACACGTGGCTGGATGGCAGCTCCTTTTGCAGGGGCTGAGGGGTGCTGGAACAAACAGAATAGAAGGTGCAAAGGCCCTGAGGCAAAAGCACGGCAGCTATAGCCCCTGATGTTACATTAGCACATTGGTGCTTGGGGTGGGGAAAATGTTGAATGGTCTGGGCAACAACTCCCCTCATGCAAAGGCAAGTGCACAGACTTGAAGCAAAGCCCTGTGTGCATTTGTAGCAAGGCTCAATTGTGGGGACGGAAGGGATTATTTACTTTCTCAGTGATTCAATTTGATATTCTTAAGACAAGACGTTTACAGTAGGATTTGCTCTATGTAAATCAGTCCACATGAGGTTTTCCGGGACTCTCTGTCTTCAATAAAGGAAGGTCGGTCTGACCTCTTGGCCATTACTTGTCCCTTATAGCTCCCATTACCTGGAGAGGGAAGGAAATCGAGACAGGAGAAAGGAACTATCTAACAGTGATGGATGTACTGTCTCCTACCATTTGCTCGGGGCTGTGCTTGGAGCTGCAGGGGCAGAGATGCGTGCATTGCAGCCCTGCCCTCCAGGGTCTACCCCGGCTTCAGTGCAGGCTGGAGGACGTGGGGAGCCATCAGAAGGCTGCAGAGACGGACCAGAATGCGAAAGGGAACAGGGTCGTCTCTGCTGGTGGAGGAGCAAAGCCTAGAGAGAGAGCTTGAACAGGGAGAGACAGGGATACCTTCCCAGTGGCGAGGACAGGGAGAGCCAGCATGCAGACCCCATGCAGCATCTCGTATCTTTAAAGTCCCCTCCTCTGCCCCGCATCTGCCTCCCCTCCCTGGACCATTTCTCTCCTCCCTTGCACAGCCAGACTTCTCCGAAGCGATGTTACACTGTCACCACTGCCTCCCCAACCCTCCCTCTCCAGCTCTCTCCAGGCCGCCTTCCACCCCACTGCTCCGCTGAAGTCACTCCAGCCAGCATCGTCAGTGACCTCCACCCTGACAGATCCACAGGGCCCGCGCCTGATCTCATCTTTCTCTGCCTCTCCGTCGCTTTGACAGTGATCCTTCTTGAAACAGTGCTTTTGGCTCTTGAGGCCCACCCCCTGCTGGTTTCCTCCTGCCTCAGGGCCCTTCTTTCAGTGTCCTTTGCCGGCTCTTCCTCCTTTACCTGACTTGTTGGCATCCTTGGGGTTCAGCCCTGGACCCTCTTCCCTTCACTCTGTCCCCAGGTGAGCTCATCCATCTGCATGGCTTCCTCTCAATGCCGACCAGCCCGAATTTCTATCTTTAATTATGTAAGTCCGGGCCCGGCCCCGTGGCGTAGCCGTGAAGTGCGCGCGCTCCGCTGCTGGCGGCCTGGGTTCGGATCCCGGGCACGCACCGACGCACCACTTCTCCGGCCATGCTGTGGTGGCGTCCCATATAAAGTGGAGAAAGATAGGTACAGATGTTAGCCCAGAGCCAGTCTTCCTCAGCAAAAAGAGGAGGATTGGCATGGATGTTAGCTCAGGGTTGATCTTCCTCACAAAAAAAAATAAAATAAAATAATGTAAGTCAGATCACACAGAAACCCCTCCAGCAGCTTCTTGTCTTGCTCAGGGGAAATACAAAGGCCTGCCTGATCTGGCCCCACACTACCTGTCTGTCCTCGCCTCCTCCCACTCTCCCCTGCATGCACCTTGCTCCAGCCACACAGGCTCCTTTGCTGCTCTTCAGACAGACCACACACACTTCTGCCTCAGGGCCTTTGCACCTTCAGCTCTGTTTGCTCCAGCACCCCCAGCCCTATGCATAGCTGTCTTCAGAAGGACAGGCATCCTTCTGGTCCAGAGAGGCCTTCCCCACCCCTGTTGTTCCTCATCCCACTACTCGGTTTGTACCTTCATAAAACCTCCCATCTATGTTTATTTGCCTGTTTGTCGCCCAGCAGACCTTGAGCTCTGTGGGACGGGGGAGGTTGTCTGGTTTGTTCACTGTTGTGAGCACAGAGCCTGGCACAGAATAGTGCTCAGTCAACACCTCTGGAACAGCCTGTGGGTGGAGGTGGGTCCCAGCTCAGTGGTCGTGGACAGCTCGTGGAGGTTCTGTTGAAAGCCAGACCCAACCCTCAGCGCTGAAGTCAACATGGGAGCTGCTCTCACGTAAACAGCAGTGTCAGAATGAAAACATGTCGCTGTGGCACTGCCTCCATCTCCCTCCGGCGACCTCGTTCCTTGCCCAGTCTCACCTGCTATCTCTCTCCCCAGCACCAAGCGGTTTGAGGACATGATTGCACCCTTCCGCCTGAATGATGGCTTCAAGGACGAGGCCACTGTCACCGAGATGAGGCGGGACTGCCCCTGGAAGATCTCAGATGAGGAGGTTAACAAGAATAGAGTCAAGGTGCAGGAGAGAGAAGGGCCTTGCTGGGGTGGGGTGGGGTCAGGGCGCCGCCCTGGGTCAGGGCCCTGTGCCCCATCTGTCCTAAGCTTCCTTAACCCCCTCCCCTGACCCTCCCCCCTGCTACTCCCAGCCTCTGAGGGATCCTGAAGCCACAAATGCTCGGGCTGACGGGTAACCCGGTTGTGGAACTCAGAGCCATCCTTGGCACGGGAGCCTGGTCCTCCTGCCCATTTTGAGTCACACCCCGCCGTGGTGATGGCCTGTCCAGAGTCCCTGTCCCTCCCCTCCCCTGTTCCTCCATGCCTGCCGAAAGGGATTCATGAGGCAAGTGGTGAAGGCAGAGGCAGAATTTGTCCCGTGGCCCAACAAGGCTGGCTGACCTTCTCCCCTAGCCTGTAGACCCCCGCCAGATGCAGCAAAAAGCCACGGCCACCCCTTCCCAGTCAGCATCTTCAGGACTCTAATAAGGGCTAAAGGAGGAGGGCGGCTGCCGTGGCCGTTTCAAGGTGGGCGAGCAGTTAGGGGCCCGGGGTCACCGTTCTGCTCCCTATGTGCTCTGGGTCACCGGTTCTCCCCGGCGGCAATTTTGCCCCTCAGAGGACGTTCGGCAGCCTCTGGAGACATTTTTGGTTGTCACCGTTGGGGGTGGGATTGCTGCTGCCGCTTAGTGAGTAAAGGCCTGGGATGCTGCTAAACATCCTACAACCCACAGGGCAGTTCCCACAGTGAAGAACTATTCCAGCCAAAGTGTCAAAGTGTCCAGCAAGATGGAGAATCCCTGGGCTAGGTTAGCTCACTCCCCCTCAGTTGTCATTCTCTCAAATGGGTGTCCATCCACTATCAGACTCAGAGTGTCAATCACTTCTGAACAATTTAGAGCCAGGTCTTGGGATGGGAGGGAGTCTCCCCCATAACCAACCCCACATAAGCTTTGGGGAATTCCCTGATCCGTCAGCCCTGAGGCCCTGCCCCAGAGGGCTCACAAAGCCTGGCTCCTTGGAGAATGCTGAATAAGGCATAGTGTCCAGAGAAGGCTTGTGCCAACTCTGTTCTGGAGGAGCTGGAACATTCCACCCCCACTCCGAGTCCACCTTATCAAGTGCATTCCGGTGCCTGGCCCTCTGCTTGGTGCTTTTGCATAGGTTAGCTCACTCCATCCTCCCTAGATTCCCCTGGGCAGGGTACTCTCATACCCATTTTACAGATGAAGACTGTGAGGCTCGGGGAGGCAACCGTCCTTGCTCAGATTCTCTCTGCTGTGAACCATCAGGGCTGAGATTTGAACCCAGCTCTCCCGACACCACGTCAAGTGCTCTCTCCCCGCTATCCCGCTGGTCATGGTAACAAGGTCAGGCAAGGAGAAACCAAGGAGGACTTCTCAAAGAAGTGAGCTTGGCACTCAATTACTGTGAGGGTCTCCTTCCTTCTTGGAGGCAGGAGAGTCTATCATAACGTAGGAGGAATCCTTCCTGCATCCAGTTTGAACGGTTAAAAGAGGCCCCTTGGGGGCCGACCCGGTGGCAGAGTGGTTAAGTGCGTGCGCTCCGCTGCAGCGGCCCGGGGTTCGCGGGTTCGGATCCTGAGCGTGCACCGACGCACCACTTGTCAGGCCATGCTGTGGCGGTGTCCCACATAAAGTGGAGGAAGATGGACACGGATGTTAGCCCAGGGCCAGTCTTTCTCAGCAAAAAAAGAGAAGAATTGGCAGATATTAGCACAGGGCTGATCTCCTCACCAAAAAAAAAAAAAAAAAATGAGGCCCCTTGGCTTGGCGGGAACTGCTTAGGAGGAGGTGGGAAGTGACCACGTGGCTTTTCCTCGTCCCAGTCGCTTCGGCAGGTGAGGCTGAATGAGATTCTGCTGGATTATTCCCGAGACGCTGCTCTCGTCGTCATGTAAGTAGCCCCGCGCGGGAGGAGACACGGGTCTCAGGGGCATCAGCTCTGGGAAGGGTGGGCACCAGCCGAGGCCCAAGCCTTCCCTGTGGGGAAGAAGGGCCCAAAGGTCGCTAAACACAGCCCAGGTGGCTTCTCAGCGTGTGGCCAGGCCTGCGTCTGCCCCATGCCCCTCGTCTGAGTGTCATCTGGAGAGGTCAAGGGCCTCACACATCCCAGCCTCACTGACTCCCCACCATGGCTTTTCCCTTGTCTGTTGCCTTTTCCTGCCAAACTCGGCTTGGCAAAGGGGACCCAGCTCATTCCAGAAGGAAATCGATTCCTAGTTGTTTGAGAATCAGCCAGCCCCCTTTGGCCATTGGCCACCCCAGCTGATGTTGGTACCCAGCCTGGGCGGTAGAAGCAGAGGCCTGCCCCAGCCCCGGCTGTTCCACGCTCTGTGTGGGTCAGACCCTCGGGCTGCCGTTGCTGCTGCCTGTGTCCAGTTAGGAGCCGCTTCTGGTGGGTATTGGCCAAGGCCAGGTAAATGGAAGGTGAGATGGAAGGTGACAGTGGCACAGAGAGAGTCTCGGGGTGGCTCTACTCTCTTGGGGGCCAGGAGGAAGAACATGGCACCCACGCCACCTGAGTCCCCTCTCCAAGAGGGGTCAGCTCAGAGGGAATAGGGGATCTGACAAGGTGAGTAACTGGCCTATCTTACGTCTCCTGGGGCTAGCCTCCTGGAATTCCGCAGGGTAGCTAAGAAGCCTGCCGAGCCTGTTTTTCCATCCCCTGAAACCAGGATCAAGCATACAATGTGCAGGGCCTAGTGCAAAATGAAAACGCGGGGCCCCTTGTTCTAAAATTATTAAGAATGTCAGGATAGTAACAGCAGAGCATTAAACCCGGCAGGGGATCCTCCTAAGTGCAGGGCCGTGTGCGCGCACAGATTGCACACCCGGGGAGCTGGCCCTGCCTGAAACGGTGCTTCCGGGGGCTTTTAGGAAGATAATTTTTTGTACCAAGAAATTTCTCCACGTTTCCTTTATGTGGAAACTGTGATAAAGCGAAGAGCTGGGTTTATCTCCAAGCCTCTGGCCAACACCTTGCAGCGTTGGCCTGGGTGCGGAGTGGGTCACAGTGCAAGACAGTGGGAATGGCTTCATCCTGGGACGGCTCCCCGGACCTTTCCTGGGTGTGAGATCTGGGCGTGCCAAACACGTCTTCGTGAGTGCCACCTCCCTTCAGAGAAGCAAGTTTGCATTTTGTCTCTGCTATTAGCCCACAGTGTGGCCTTGGGCAAGTAACCTTCTTCTCTGAGCCTCAGTTTCCCTGATTATAGAGGAGTTAAACTAGATTATTTCCAGATTTTCTTTCACTCTAACATACTATGATTCTAAGTTTATTTGCCCTAAAATGAGTCAGTCTCTCAGGCCATCAGATGAGGAATGTCATCCCGGGAGGTCTCCATCTGCTGGCGCCTCTGCCCTCCCACTCCCCCACCCCTGGACCTCATGGGGAAAGCCATCCCCCGCCCACCAGCCTTTGTGGGATTAGCTGATACAGATAATCATGAGTCCAGTCGTCTTAGAGAAGACGCCTGCGCCCGTGGCGGCAGCTACAGCTGTTGCCGAAAGGGGCCCTGCTGTCAGCCCACTCCAGGGGGAGGATGGCAGCTGAGTCTTTGCATTGCTAATCTCCAGCCCGGAGCCGTGCCCTGCTTCTAAAAGTTCAGTCTGAGGGTCACCTTCACCAGAACCACCACGCACTTGTGGAAAATGGCAAATTCCTCAAATCCTTCCAGATCAGGGTCTGGGGTGGAGCCCAGGAACCTGCCTTCCCCAGAAATTCTGGGGAAGAAAAAAATCCTTCCCAGCCTCAGGGAAATGACAAAATCACATTGTACAGCATTTTGGGGAGGACACCGGGACCATTTTCTAGAGCAAATTTGAGGCAGATCTTGGTTGTTTATTGTCTACTAATCAATCAGTGGTTTATGTGATTAGCAGCCGTGTTTGAGCTCAGCTTAACCTGCACAGCTGATAAACCAGCCTTGTAACCAGTCCAACAACCTTTGACTAGACTGACAACCTACCTCTGGTCTAACTTTCCAGTCTAGACACCTCTTCTTTCCATAAAGACTGCCTCCTCAAAGCCAAATAGTAATAATCAAAATAATAATAATCGACATTGCATTTTATGGATTGAGCCTCTGTGACACTCAAGGCATTGGGCCTTATTAATTTTCAAAACTCTATGAAGTGGTTCTATTTCATCTCCCCTCCACACACACTCTGGAGATGAGGAAACCGAGTCCCGGAGGAGTTAATCATCTTGCCCCTGACCTCACAGCTGCAAAGTGGGGGCTGGGTTTTGAAACCCGTGACGAAGTTCTGACGCGGGATTCTCGTTCCACCTCTAGGTTAGATCCAAGGCTGCCTTTCTTTGTGGCTAAGAGCTGCAATGCTGAACAAAAACTTCCTTTGTTCTGGAGCAGCTTTGTTTCTAAAGATTAGTAGCTTAGAGCGCACGTCCTGTGAGCAGGAATAGAGAGCGCCATTGACTGGTGTGGGGGTGACTGTACGGGAGCCTGTCCCTCGGATGGGAGGACAGGCTCTGCTGGAGGAGGGAGCTTCACGCTGAAGCTTGAAAGGCCACAGCAGGAGTGATGCAAGTCCCCTGTCCCTGGTAGTGCAGCCACCAGTCCCCTCGTGCCCTTTGACGTTGCTGAATTCAGTCCCCGAAAATGATGCAGCAGATCCCAGAGGGCACGTTCAGCCTCTGGCATAACTGTTGAATCAGGAAAGTTTGGTTTCAATATTCCCACTTTCCTTTTCCCCGGAAAGTCACCAGACAAACACAAACACATTCTAACAAAGGTGACACTAGCTGAATGAAATGTCCTGTTCCCACCTGTCTTCCCCCATCCTGGGGACCTTGCTTTATAAAGGAGGGGAGTGGTTGTCCCAAGTGAAGCTTTGAGGATGGAATTTTAAATAAGGGGCACTGTCTGGGGACCCCAGTTTGCCTTCGCAGCGGAGGGGGGCGTGCAGTGAGCAGAGGCAGCTGGGGCGGGGAGATCCCACGACCTGGTTCAAGCCCGGCTCAGCGTGGTCACCCACTGGGTCATCTCGTGCTGGTAAATAATGATACGTGATGACAGGAGCTGCTGACGTTGGGAGGGCATGCTCTGTGCCAGGCATCGTGCGACGCCTTTGTGTGTTTCGTCGTCTTTAGCTCTCGCAAACACCCCCCGAGGGAGGTTTGTGTGTCCTCACGTTAGGGAAGAGAAAACGGGCTCAGGTGCCACGTGGCTGAGGAGTGGCAAAGCTGGGACTCAGTTTCTCTGACACCAGAGCCCTGCTCTGAGCCCAGCGGCCTGGCACAGCATCCTCCCGTCTGCCGTCTGCCGAGGTTCCCTTCGCTGGGAGAGAGGGCGGGGCCAGCCCCGCCCTTTCCCCAGGGTTGTTTTGAAGTTCTGATGAAATAACACCCGTGGATGTACTTTGGGAAAACAAAGAAAGTGCAGTCCCACGTAAGGTGGTGGAGCCCCGACTTCGTGTCACACCAGCTGGGTCTGCAGATGCCGCCTTCTCCAAGAGCCAAGAGCAGGGCAGCTGCAGCCCTCCCAATGCATTTTTGGAATCTCAGGATGGTGGAAAAGTCCCTTCCTGAAATAGCCATGGAAATATGGTGGAACAGCATTCCCAGGCTTCTCGTAATTTGCACAGCATTGCGGTTCAACAAGGGGTCCTCCAAAGGCAATGGCGGAGTCCTGCCCCCAGGGCCTTACACACACAGCAGGAGGCAGGACAAGGACATTCAGCTGAAGGGTGTGACCATATCACACTGCTGTGGCCACAGGCAGGTGTGTGGCTGGCAGGATTCGCATGTCCTGATGAGGCGGGATCACCCACAATAGCCCCACTGTATCAGACTGTGTTCTGGGTACAGGGGAAGGCGTGGTGAACAAGACAAACCCGGTCTGAACATATAGTCTAGTGGGGGAGACAGACAACAAACAAATAAATGAAAAGAGGATCTTGAGAGTGTGAGGCGCTAAGAAGACAATGAAACAGGGTGATCTGATAGAGATGGGAGGCTGGCTTTGGAGGGGGTGATCAGAGACGGAGGTCCACTTGAGCTAAGACCTGAGTGATACAAAGGAGCCAACCAGGTGATGAGCTGGGAGCACTGCCTTCAACATCTTGTGCAAAGGCCCTGGGGCAGGAATAAGGATTTCTTTCTAGAATGGAAAGAAAGCCACTGTGTCTGTAGGCAGGTGAGCGAGGCTGAGGGTGGTAGGAAATGAGGTTGTGGATGCTGGTGGGGACCAGATCATGGGGCCTTACAGGCCGTGGCTTTATTTAGAAATGCTTCATGGCTGAAGGTACATTTCAAGTCATGCTTTTAAGGAGCGTGGGAGGTTGTTCTTAGGGTGGCTGGGAAGAGGCGCTCTGAAGGGGTCAATAAACAGAGCTACTGTTCAGAAAGCAAACCATGGGCTGTGGGGGGAAGGCCCCTTGGTAATTCCTCGTCTGCCGCTTCTTCCTGCCTTGCAGCACCTTGCCCATAGGGAGGAAGGGGAAGTGCCCGAGCTCGCTGTACATGGCCTGGCTGGAGACGCTGTCCCAGGACCTCAGACCTCCGGTCATCTTGATCCGAGGAAACCAGGAGAACGTACTCACCTTTTACTGCCAGTAACTCCATGCTTGGCCTTGCCTGCCTGAAGCCAAGGGCACGGGACGTCTACCTCTCCTCGGAGACAAGACTCACGTTCTGTTGCACTTTAAACGGTAGCATCTGATGATCCCACTGAAGAAGCTGGTAGATTCCAAACTTTGGCCGGACCCTCCTCCCATTGGACGTGTCCTCTGGGCTTTGGCTGGAGAAGTAGCAGATGGAGTTGCATGGAAAATATTTTGGTGGATCCATATTCCTTTTAAGCTTTATTTTGATCTTAATTACAACTAATCAGATTTCAGTCTTTGATATATACAAGTTTGAGTCAGAGTGCCGGGTGTGAGTCCTGGCAGTTCCTACTGACCTTCCCTGGGGGACTCCCTAACCGTGTCCCCCTCTTCCACAGTCAGGGGAATGGGCGCCCACCTGTAGCCCTTCAGGAGGACTGCACGGCTCTTTGAGCCTCCATGAGAATGCAAATTTCTTTAACCCCCTCTCACTACCTTCACTTTCAATAATAATGTGTCTTCAGTGTTTTGGTTGGTTCTTTGGTAGACCAGGGACTTTCAAACTTTTGGGGGCTGCAACCCACAGTCAGAAATATATTTTACATTGAGCCTTGGAACAGACACACAGTGAAACGAAAGTGTCACAAAACAATACTTATCCGTACTAAGGGTGATGCACTCTGATATTTTCTGTTCTAGTTCTCGTTCTCGTTTTAACGTTGGTCGCAATCCACTAAAATGAGTTTGGGACGCACTAAGGGGAGGTGACCCACGATTTGAAAAGCCTGGCTGGTTTGGAGAAAGGCCATGTTAAGCATCACTGCCATTTCCCCTGCTCATCCCACAGGGAAGGGAAGGGAACTGACAAAACACATGAGCAGGGTATTGAGGGTGGACGTGTCAAGAAAGAGCTTCAGAGGAGGGGCAAGATTTAGGGAGTCTCTGGGAGGGCGTTAACTTTCAGGTTTGGTTGGGGATGGAGGGTGGAGGTTGGTCAGGGATGCAGGTTTGGTGGGTCACGGATGGGGAAGGGGAAGTGGGGATGTAAAGATGGCAAGATTGGGCAAAGGATCGGAAAGGTCCAAACCCAGCCCAAGGCCAGGTGACAGCACAGGGGAGGAGGAGCTGCTGGAAAGAGACGGAAACAGAGCAAGTGGCAGAGGGGACTGCGGTGGGGGGAATGCAAGGTGGGGGTCAGAGAAGAGAGAGAACCTGGGGAGGATGAACCCTACTCGGGTAAGGGTGTTCCGGTTACTATGGATTGAATAGTCCAGAGTGTTTGCACCAACCAAGAGGATACAAGAGCAGAATTATGTTGAGATGTCCCAGCTGGTGGGTGAGGCTCCCTAAAAGCGCGTTTCAGCGCTAGACACACCCCCGAGCAGCATAAAGGTGAGTTGTTGGGGATACGACGGGCTGGGCCTTCTTCCAGTAGCACTGGGGTGGCTGAAGGAACGAGGCATCTTTGGGTTTGGTCGGCCCCCTCCAGGCCCACTGAAGTGCCCATTTAGTCCTGAAGGCAAAATCTCGTTCTTGGGTTATGACAACCTGTAAAAACAGAAGCCAGTTTAAGAGGCAAAGCGTTTATTTGGGATCAAAGAATTGCAATTCGTGGATCACAGATTCAGGTAGAAACCCAAATAGTGTCCTGATTACAGGAGAGGGACTTAGGGTTTTTATGGAAAAAGGGAGGATGAGGTGAGCTGAATTAGAGTACACTGGTGCTGGATGAGGTCAGGCTAGACTTGTCCTCCACTGACTGGTTGAGATTCGTCATCAGCAAAGTCCAGTTCCCTCAGTCCTCACAGACAGGATGTTCTTATCCTGACATCTTGGAGTGTTGGCGGTTTGGTCCAGTCTGGAAGATAAAGAAAACAAGACATACAAGGCAATTCCTCTGAAATGGCTGCTCTGGCTCTGTTTTAATATGGCTCCACTCATGTCATCTTTCACAGTTAGAGCCCAGAGGACTTGAGCGTTTCTCAGGTCATCCCGCTGCAGAGACCTAAGGCTCTGGGCTCCCAGGCTGTTTCAAGCCCCACTGTTCTTTCCTGAGTCAGGGCTTGCTGAGAGAGACCGAGCACCAGGCTGAGCTCATTAGGGACGGCTCCTCTGCTCCTGAGGGACCAGAGGGGGGCCTGCCTCTGAGCCATTCAGTGGACCTGAGACCAACTCCCAACTCCAGATAAGGCAAAGCCTTAATCAGGGAAGGCTTGCCTTCCTAGAGCCACACGGAAAACCATTTCCTGGCAGATGGGTGCTCCTTCTTCAGACTTCGAAGAGACCCTAATTCCAGAACAGAGAATGCTTTGGCTTCGGGCATTTAAAAAAAACAAAAAAGAATTTTCACTATGTTGGAAATCAAATCTTGAATAATGATAATAGCTTTGTTTTTTAAAAAAAAAAGGCCTTGAGTTAATAGTGAGGTCAGAAACAATGAATGAATAAAAAATACGTTCACTCGGTCAACAGAATTTGTTTGTTTTGGAACATATTGTTTTTTAACTCTGCTGAGTGTTTCAAAAAAATTAACTGTTTTGTTTTCTCAACCCTGTATTGAACTTTCTCAAGCTTCCACTGGTTCTGTAGGTCACCTTGCCAGGTTTCCACATGAACGTTTACAGGAGCCACTTATTTTCCCTTTGCTTCTCTTACATGTGTTTGCAGACTCACGGGGAACCCATTTTCTTGGGTCCTTGTAAAAGTGTTCCAGTATTTTCAATCTCGCCGAAAGCCGAGAGGTGGAGAGGTTGAGTGGGAGGCCACAGCGTGGCCACCAGAAGACCTGGATTTGAGTTTCTGTCTCCCTCACAAAACTGGCTGTGTGATCTCAGATACGGCCCTTACCCTCTTACCCTGGGGCCCTTACCCTGGGCTTCAGTCTGTGAAACGAGAGAACTAGACCAGAACAGGTGTCCCTAGGCAGCTGGTCTGCCGATGACTGTGGTTTGGCTCACGCGCGGTTGATCAAAATTGTGGGTGCTGGGGGTGGGGTGGGGAAACACTTCACTTCAGCCCCCCCGCCCCTTGGCTGACCACTTCCTATTGCCCTGCTGTGTGATCAGGAGCTCTAGAAGGCCCTCCAAGCCATTGTTGGGCCTATTGGACACTGGGAGGGTGGGAGATGCCAGTCCGCAGTGTGTGTCTCTCTCTGCCTTTGGATGATAGAATGCTCCACGTTGATGACTCTCAGTGGTGGGACTATTTTCCCTGTAGTCCTCCTTTGTGCTGTGCATGGAGCACCTGACCCACAGAGAGGTGGGTCAGCAGGGCAGGGCCCAGCCAGCGGCCACAGCGGCCACGGCAGCAGGAATTCCTCCCTTATCTCCCCCGGGATCCACTACCCAGTTAGCTCCCAATTTTCCCCTTGGCATTTCAGCCTCCAGATTCCATCTCCTCCTTCAGTTCCTGTCCAGACTTGTTGTGGCTTTGAAGGAAGTACAGTATAGCCCGATTTTCACCCAATAGGCTTGTTGAGCTCCACCTCCCAGGCAGAAAGCTGTGGGCCTCATTAGCGCCTGGAGAGTCCCGTTTCGACTGGATTCCCTTTTACACGTCTGCCTGGCCTCTCTGGTGTGGCCAGGGAGAGGTGGGTTTCACAGCGAGGAGACCAGCTGGAATGTTCCAGAAGAACCACCTGGCTGGGAGGCCCCCAAGCACATGCAAAGCAGCCCGGTTTCACTTGTAGCTGTGTATAGCTCGAGATGTCAGAAAAAAATGCTGCTGACTTCAAAAGTGTTCACAGAAACGGGGCTCGGGAAAGCCCAGCCCCTGGCTAGGCTGGTACTTCCCCACTGGAAGTGAGGGCTAATCGTATGACTGACGGCACAAGCATGACACGAATGCCCCTTCCTGAAACGGAGCCACAACAAACTCAGTTTCTAAAAATACCCCGTGGATAGAGCCTCGAGAAGAACCACCTGGCTGAGAGGCCAGACGGCAGAATGTCGGAATGTCATACAGACGAAAGACCATAGCAAGGAAGGACGAGTGCTTTTCATTCCGGCTCATAAGAGAGTCACAAAATAAAGCGCTCTAAGGAAGCAGAAGAGAGAGCAAACACACAGGTCAAGGGAGTTAAGCAAGTCTCTCTAGAGAAAACGGTATTTGAAATAGGTTTGAACGATTGGTAGGATTCTACAGACAGAAATGGGGGCTGGGGTTGGGAGGAGGTTTTCCAGATGGCAGGAGAGCCTGAGCAAGGACCAGAGTAAAGACAGCTTCCTAGGTATGTTTGGGGAACAGGAAATAAACCAGTTTTCCTGGAGTACGAGGATTGTGGATGTGGGAAGATGAGATTGGGAAAGTTGTAATGTGGAAGGCCCCAACTATGAGGCTGGGGAGCTCATCACTGACTCAGAGGCACTGGGGAGCCCCTGAAGGTGAGGGGCAGATCCAAGCCTTAGGAAGCTTGGCTGGACAGGAGATGGAGGAGGCTGGAAGAGGAAAGGCAGGGCGCCCAGGGAGGAGGCTGTGCGGACTTGCAAAGGCAAGTCAGCAAGGCTCAATACTTTAAGAGTGGCAGAGAAAAAGGCCACGGAAGAGATAGAAGAGGGGATGAAGAAATAGTATCTTCCAGACCTGGGAATTTCCAGCATGTTTATGTGGGTGGAAATAGGGCTACAGCAGTTGAGCCTGGGCAGCTGTAAGAATGAAGAAACCCTGTAATATGGAGGGCAAGGTAACAGGCTTACTACTGGAGGGGAGAAGAGATTAAGTGTGAGGGCGTCCAGGCGATCAGAACTGTGGTCCTGGAGCTCGGGAAAAGCTCAGGGTGTCCGCCGTTAGCCTGACACTCTGAGAGAAGAGACCATAAGTAGATCATGGAGTCACACTCATGGACAGGGAAGTCGAAGCCAGAGCTTGGTTGAGATCACCAAGAGAGGAAGCGTGGAGAAGGAGAGGGCTGGAGGCTAGGCCTTGGGCAGGGCTATCTTTAGGGGGCAGCAGGAAGAAGAGGTAGCCAGCAAAGCAGCCTGAAAAAGAGCATTGGCAGGGCAGGAAAAAAACGAGGTAACCAAGGGCCTCAGAAGGCACCAGAGAAG